GGAAGAAAGGAAAGAAGGAAAGGAAGAAAGGAAGAAAAAAGAAAAAAGAAAGGAAAGAAAGGAGGAAAGAAAGGAAAAAGGAAAGAAATGAAGAAAGAAAGGAAAGAAGGAATCAGGAGCTTAAGCCAACCAGAAAGCTGTCCATCATCATCATCATTATCATCATCATTATTATTATTATTACTATTTCTTAATATAACTATTATAGATTCTGGCTCTTGAATTTTCCTTGACAAAGCCAACTTATAAGCAATATCTTTTTAAAAGAAATGATGAACCTCTTTCAGAATTTGCCCCTTTGACCTTTAGTTTTTCCTAAGAAATGAGGGACCCCAGCCTCATTTCCTGGCCAGGTTCACAGGATGTCCATGAATGCCTGCAAGGTACAGTCAAAAAAAAAAAAAAGAAGTCAAGATGGTACCTGCAATTAGATTATTGAAACTTTGCCTGGCTTTCTTGCTACTGTTGCATCTGTATTTTGATTTTTGTAGCCCAGCGAGGGTCCCCAACCATTTTGGCACCAGGGACTAGTTTCAAGAAAGACCATTTTTCCACAGACTGGGGGAGAGTGGGAGCGCGCAACCGAGATCCCCTGCACGCACAGTTTTGCTTGCCCATCATTCACCTCCAGCTACGCAGCGCAATTCCTAACAAGCCTTGGACCGGTACTGGACTACAGCCCAGAGGTGTTGGGGAACTCCTGTTGTAGACTATTTCTTGCTAATATCTTCCTGGTGTTGCTATGCCCCAATATGGACTCTTTCATTTTCCTTTAGAACAATCCAGTACACAGTCATGATTATTAATAACCACCATTGGTGGCTTTTTTTTTGCCCCAGCCCACCGTGTTTTAGTCACATGGTTTGGGGCAGACATGATAACTGGCTGGGTTTACACGATCCATGAAGCCATCTAACATGGTTTCATGGCCCACTAACGGCTGCATTTTCGTACTTCATTTTGCCCCAATTAACAGCAGCACATGATTGGCTTCTCGCAATGTTTTTCCCACATCAAGCTGGCTTATCAAACCTGGGTCTTCCCACCAGGCAAATCCTGTCCTGTCCTCTCCCAATAATTCTCACAGCCTTTCCTTCCCACTCAGAATACAAGCCTCTTGGTGGAGAAACCCACAAACTGGAGAAGAGTGGCTGATCATTTGAATAAAAGCTTTTTGCCCATCTCTAGACCGAGGTTTATTTGTTTTTGAATCTGGCAGTCCCATGTGAAATCTCTCCAAGGGCTGGGAATGGGTGGGACATGCAAACACATCTGGATGCATAAAATTTAGAATAGAATATTGTTGGAAGGGACCTTGGAGGTCTTCTAGTCCAGCCCCCTGCTCAAGCAGGAGAATCTATACCATCTCAGACAAGTGACTGTCCAGTCTCTTCTTAAAAACCTCCAGTGATGGAGCACCCATGACTTCTGGAGGCCAGCTGTTCCACTGGTGAATTATCCTCACTGTTAGGAAGTTTCTCCTTAATTCCAGGTTGCTTCTCTCTTTGGTCAGTTTCCAACCATTGTTTCTCGTCCTGCCTTCTGGTGCTTTGGAGAATAATGTGACCCCCTCCTCTTCTTTGTGGCAGCCCCTCAAATACTGGAATGCTGCTATCATGTCTCCCCTATTTCTTCTTTTCTTTAGACAAGCCAAACCCAAGACCTGCAGCCGTTCTTCACATGTTTTAATCTCCAGGCCTTGGATCATCTTAGTTGCTCTTCTTTGAATTTTTTCCAAGGTCTTTTTTGTAGCATGATGATCAAAATTGGTTGCAGTATTCCAGGTGGGGCCTCACTAGGGTTTTATAAAGCGGTACTAATACTTCACGTGATCTTGATTCTATGCCTCTGTTTATACAAGGCAGGATTGTATTAGCTTTTTTGGCTGCTGCTGCACACGGCTGGCTCATGGTCAAGTGATCGGCTACTAGGACTCTGAGGTCCCTCTCACAGTTACTGTTTTTGAGCCAGGCCTTGCCTAATCTTGTGCCTTTGATTTTTTTGTGCCTTTGATTTTTCCTGCCTAAATGTAAAACTTTGCTTCTCTCCACATTTCTCACCTTCCTCGCTGCAACCACCAGCCCCGCCACCTATATGTGGTGGCACTCCACTTCTGTAGCTCTTGGACCCCCCCCCCAGGCAGAAGCCCCCAGCCAAAGGACGACAGTTCCCCAAAGCCTGTTGAGATGGCCCCTGTCGCCATCTCCTTTTCTTAAGCTACCTTGAGCGTTGATAGAGGAAAATATTTGTAGCTCAGGGCTACAACTATGGATCATTCAGCCTTGCTGCTCCACTGAGCTGGGTGCTTTTCTTGCAGACCTTTCATGACCCAACTAGGGAACATCATCAGTGCTAGAAGGGAGAAGGGGCTTGCGGAGAGGAGGCGGAGGAGGAGGAGGAGGAGGAGGAGGAGGAAGATGGGCTCCTTGACGCTCTCCGAGCTTGATTGTTTTCTTGCAGAGGTTTCATAACCCAGCTAGGGAACATCCTCAGCACTAGAAGGGAGTGTGGGTTGTGGAATGGAGAAAAAGAAGGGGAGGAGGAAGAGAAGGAGAAAGGGGAGAGGAGGAGGAGGAGGAGGAGGAAGAAGAAGAGAAGGAAGAGAAGAAGTGGGAGGAGGAGGAGGAGGAAGAAGAGGAAGAGAAGGGGGAGGGGGAGGAGGAGGAAGAGGAGGAGAAGGAGAAAGAAGGAGGAGGAAGAGAAGGAAGAGAAGGGGAAGGGGGAGGAGGAGGAAGGGGGGAGAGGAGAAGAGAAGGAAGAGGAGAAGGGGAAGAGGAAGAGAAGGAAGAGAGGAAGGGGGAAGGAGGAAGAGAAGGGAAGGGGAGGGGGAAGGAGGAAGAAGGGGAAGAGGAGGAAGAGGAGAAGGGGAGGAGGAGGAAGAGGAAGAGGAGAAAGGAGGAGGAGGGAGGAAGAGGAAGAGAAGGAGAAAGGGGAGGAGGAAGAAGAGAAGGAAGAGGAGAAGAGGGAAGGGGAGGAGGAAGAGAAAGAGAAGGAGAAAGAAGAGAAGGAAGAGAAGGGGAAGGGGGAGGGGGAGGAAGAGGAAGAGGAGGGGAAGCAGAATCTGGGGTCTTGGCTGTTCTCTGAGCTGGGCGATTTTCTGGCAGACGTTTCACGGCCCAGCTCGGTACCCCAACCAGGTGCCTCGCGTGGGTTGGGAAAGGGACGTCTCCTCGCCCGTCCCAGCCTCCCATCCCAAGCAGGTGACCGGAGAAGACGAGGAGGAAAGGGCTGGGCGAGGGGGGGGGCGAGGCAGCCCCTTCTCCTCCTGCCCGCAGTCCCCGACCAAGCGGCGTCCCTGCGGAGCCGAGAGACGGGCAGAGAACGAGTTAAAAGCGAAAGGCCCGCCGACTTCCGGAGGTGTGCGAGGCCCAGGGCTGTGCGGAGAGAAAGCGCGCATCTTTCTCCGCTCGCCTCCGCCTTCGGCGCGGGAGGGGTGGGGTGGGGGGGCCGGGAGGGGAGGGGAGGGAGGGGAAAAGAAGAGCAGGCCACGGCGGCTTGGAGCGGCGGGGGGGGGCGAGGAAGGCAAGCCGCCCCTTTGATCCTCCCTGACATCTTCCTCCGACGAGCCCCCTCCCCACAAAAAGCCAAACTCTCAAGTCACCGGGGCGGGGGGGGAGGGAGGCCAACGCGGCCTCGTCCATTTCCCCCCCCTCTTCCTCCTCCTCCTTCTCTCTCTCTCTCTCTCTCTGGCCCCCTAATCCGCTCCCCCTCTTTTTCTGTCCCCCCCCACCCACTGCCGCCCCCCCCCACAAGATCCACTGCTGCGGCTTTAAGAGGAGGAGTGCCGGGGAGGGGGAAAGTGGCAACCCCCGGCTAGTGTGTGTGTGTGTGTGTGTGTGTGTGTGTGTTTCTCTCTCTTTCTCTGCCAGCTCCCCCCACCCCCACCCATCCACCCCCACCCCACCCCCGGCCTCCGCCGATTCCAGCGGGCGGCTGAGCGCTGAATTCTCCTCGGTGGTGACAGGTTGAGTAGGGGAAGGGGTTTTTAGGGGACCTCTGAGCCCCCCCCTCAACATCACATTCCTTCCTTCCTTCCTTCCTTCCTCTTTCCTTCCTTCCTTCCTTCCTTCCTTCCTCTGGCACCTTCTCTAGCTTTCTCTCTCTATCAACACTCCCGCGACCCCCTCCCCATTTCTCCGCCTTTGCATCTTGCCCGGATAGGACCGGAGGCGCATTTTAAAAAGGGAAAGGCAGAAAGAACGGCGCGCCGGGCGGAGGTGGGGAGGGGAGGGGAGGGGAGGGGGAGAGGCGGGGGGGGGCGCCTGGTTGGGAGTTGAGGTCCATCTTTTGAAGCCTAGAAGATGAAGAAGAAGAAGGGCGGGAAGATTAGAAAGGAGCGGGCGTGAAAAAAGCGCCTTTTTTTTCTCGGCTCTCTTTGGGGAGGGGGCTGTTTTCCTCCTTTTCCTCGCTGTCTCCCCCCCCTCCCCTTTTCCAATTAGTACCACCCGGGGTGCCCGCGTGTGTGAGTGTGGGTGTGTAGACACACACACACAACCCACCCCGAGGACGAGGCTCATTAATCACGGGAGGCTGACAGCTCCCAGGATGGGCAGCCGCGGCGGCGAGCGACACAAGTCCAGATCTACTCCGGAGAAAGCGGGGATCGCCGCCAGCTAGCTCTCTAGATCCCGGCGCCTCGATCTTCCGCCCTTGGCCCCAGACTACCCCCCCCCACTCCCCATTTCCACGCAAACCTCTGACCGAGCCCCGGGAAGGTTTCCTTAAACACACTTTTTTTAAAAAAAAAAAACCCAAACCACAGGACTTCTGAAAAAGGATTTTTTTTAAAAAAAAAAAAAATATTTTTGTTTTCTGGAGTAGAGCAGATCCCGTAGACCGCTCCTCGTGGGGGGGGGGGAACGAGGGGGGGTGTGGAGAGAGAGAGAGAGAGAGAGATTCGACCCAAAAGTCAACTCCGGCCAAGAGTTTGCAGCAGCTTCTTCTTCTTCATCATCTTCTCCTTCTCCCGCTCCGCCCCGGCGGCTTGGATTCGATGGGGCTGCAGCCCGGACTGGAGATGGCGCTTCGGCTTTGGGGGGAGAACTGACGGGTCTCTCTGGCTTCCCCCCCGAAAGCCCGCTTCTCCCGGGGGGGGGGGAGACGCCAGGAGGAAGAGGAAGCCTGGAGAAAAAGCTCGGGAGCGTCTCATGGCCCAAAGGGTAAGTCGGGACCCCCCCTCCCTCCAACCGCTTCCCCGTCACCGGTTGGGTTTTTTTAAAAAAAGGAAAAAAAGAATATTATTATTATTATTATTATTATTATTATTATTATTATTATTATTATTATTAATCCCAGGTCCTGGGCAAGAATTCGATAGGTAGACAAAATGCCAAATCCAGTCTGAATATCTGGCTGACTGTGTGATGATCAATAATAATAATAATAACAATAATAATAGTAGTAGTAATGATGAACAGGCCCTGGCTGAGAGGTCAGATCTTAAAGTCAGATCTTCCGGATAGGAGGGTTTTTGTTTTGTGTTTTTTTAGGGGTTGTGTGTGTGTGTGTGTTGGGGTGTGTTGGGGTGTGTGTGAAAGGTTAGATGTGATCTAAAAAAAAAAAAAATGCGCTGAAACGGCTTTCTCAGTTTGTGCAGACCGCTCGTTGGTTGGGACCCCTTCTTCTCTCGTCGTTTTTCCGCAGCAACTTCTTAACTTCGTCAATTGTTTTGCTGGTTTGTTTTGGGGACAAGCCTTGTGGGTGGGCCGGGAAGTCTCCGAACAGTTTTGGGACTGAGGTGGTGGAAGGAAGGGAGAAAGAGAGTGGATGGAGGAATGGATGGATGAATAGATAGATAGATCGATAGACAGATAGACAGATAGACAGATAGAGAGAGGATAGATAGGTAGATAGATAGATAGATAGATAGATAGATAGATAGATAGATAGATAGATAGATAGATAGGATGGATGGGATAGAGAGAGAGAGAGAGAGGATGGATGGGTGGATGGGATAGAGAGAGAGTTATAGAGATAGAAAGAATGAGAGAGAGAGAGAGAGAGAGAGAGAGAGAGAGAGAGAGAGATGGACAAATAAATATTGTGTTATAGATATAGATAGACAGATAGAGGGATACCGGTGGATAGATAGATATGGGCAAAGGTATAGACTTGTACAGACAGAGACAGACAGATAGATATTATAGATCTACAGAGAGACAGATGTACAGAGAAATACAGAAATGTAGAGACAAACAGACAGACAAAGATATAGAGATATAAATAGGTAGATAGAAAGAGGACAGACAGACAGATAGACAGACAGACAGACAGACAGATAGATACAGATATATAGAGAAAAACAGATATAGATGGGAGGGAGAGAGGGAGACGGACAGACAGACAGACAGACCTGGTTTTAAAAAGTCCTTTCTTTCTTTCAAATGAACTCAGCAGTTGTCACTTTTGGCTCAAACTCGGGGCGCCCCCCCCCCTCCCTCTCCTCTGCATTTAACTTTGTGAGTCGAGAGGGGTTTTGTGTCTTGTTTTGTTTTGTTTCAAAAAGCGGGGCGGCGGGGGGGGAGGGGAAGGGAGGGAGGGAGGGAAGGAAAAGAAAAAGAAAGGAAGAAAAACCCTCACCCCAAACAAACACTCGTCTCCATAGCAAACTCTCACGAGCGAGAGAAACGCGGAAGGGGCGCCGCGGCTGGAAAAGGCGAGGGAGGCTTTGACTCTTTCCCCGCTTGACTTTCCCCGCTTTCTCCCTCCGGATCCCTTTGAAGGCCGGCTGCTCGTTTGAAAGCTGCGGCGGGGCGGGTTTGGGGACACTTCGAGGGGGGGGGCTTTGGAAAGTTTCTGCAGCCCCCTTCCCCCCCCTCCCCTGACCCCCCCCCCTCCGGGAAGCGGCAGAAAAGAGCGAGCCGGCGTGAAAGCCCCGGGTTCAGGTCTCTGCAGTTTGGCCCCTTGGAAGGAATTCAGAAGCCCCCAGCGCCCCCGCCCCGCTTTCTCTCAAAGGGGGGGGTCTGGTGGGGTCCTCCGGCCTGGAATCTCAGCTGTATTTATAGTTATCGTTTTATATAGTTCTATAATTATATTTGGGGGGGGGGCAGGTATAGTTCTGGAGAGCAGAGGAAAAAAAACCGGTGGTTTCTGCTAAGTTATTACGGTAGTTATTATTTCCTTGGTATTTAATCGACTGTTCTTTAATTCAAGCAAAATGTACCTGTTTGCACTATTTCTCTTTCTTTCTTTCTTTCTTTCTTTCTTTCTTTCTTTCTTTCTTTCTTTCTTTCTTTCTTTCTTTCTCTATCTGTTTTTCTCTCTGTGTCTTTCTCTTTCTTTCTTCTCTTTCTTTCTTTTTCTTTCTTTTTCTTTCTTTCTCTCTCTTGTACCTGTTTACACTATTTCTTTTTCTTTCTTTCTTTCTTTCTTTCTTTCTTTCTTTCTTTCTTTCTTTCTTTCTCTATCTCTCTTTCTCTCTGTCTCTGTCTTTCTCTTTCTCTTTCTTTTTCTTTCTTCTCTTTCTTTCTTTTTTCTTTCTTCCTCTTGTACCTATTTACACTATTTCTTTTTCTTTCTTTCTTTCTTTCTCTATCTCTCTTTCTCTCTGTCTCTGTCTTTCTCTTTCTCTTTCTTTTTTCTCTTTCTTTCTTTTTTCTTTCTTCCTCTTGTACCTGTTTACACTATTTCTTTTTCTTTCTTTTTTATCTATCTCTCTTTCTTTCTCTTTCTCTCTTTCTTTCTTTCTTTCTCTATCTCTCTATCTCTTTCTTTCTTTCTCTCTTTCTTTCTTTTCTTTCTTTCTCTTTCTTCTCTTTCTTTTTCTTTCTTTCTCTCTCTTGTACCTGTTTACACTATTTCTTTTTCTTTCTTTCTTTTTCTTTCTCTCTCTCTCTCTTTCTCTTTCTTTCTTTTCTTTCTTTATCTTTCTTTCTCTCTTTCTTTTTTTCTTTATCTTTCTTTCTCTTTCTTTTCTTTATTTCTTTCTCTTTCTTCCCTTTCTTTCTCTTTCTTTTTTCTTTTTCTTTCTCTGTCTCTCTTTCTTTTCTTTCTTTCTTTCTCTTTCTCTTCCTTCCTTCCCTCTCTCTTTCTTTCGTTCTCTCTCCAAAACAATCGAACAGTATTTATTATTATATCCAGTTCTTTCTGATGTAACTTTCCAAGATGTAGAAATCAATTATTTCTGTAGAAATGGGGAAAGCAGGGAAGAAGGGAAACATCCAACCTTGTTACAATTGATTAATCCAAAAATCTGTAGGGTCCATACTTTCCAAAGCAAGATCTGAACAAGGATTTCCCCTTAATGTATTTTGGTGAACATATAGCATGTGTGTTTGCCTGTGTATTTCTGTAGGCAGGTTTCAAAAACATTTCCCTGCTCGAGTATTTTATTTTTATTTTTGAAAGTGGATTCTGAAAAGTCAGTGGAGTCTTTGCAGGACTGAGTGAAAGAGAAGAAAAGAGAGGGAGGGAAAGGTTAAACGGGATCGGCTCCTCTTTGCTCCTAGTTAAGCTGCAAGAGATGATTTAAATAAGAATGGGTGCTTGGCAGGGTGGAAAAAAATCCTCACCTCCCCCCACCAAGGGAGGGAAAGTTTTGCTCTGTCTTGCTTTTTTCTTTAAAAAAAATAATTGTAAAGTTTAAAGTGCAGTGCCGGATTTTAAGTCAGAAAGAAAGCAAGAAAGCAAGAAAGCAAGAAAGCAAGCAAGCAAGCAAGCAAGCAAGAAAGAAAGAAAGAAAGAAAGAAAGAAAGAAAGAAAGAAAGAAAGAAAGAAAGAAAATAAGAAAGAAAGAAGAAAGAGTGGGGAGAAAGAGGGAGGGAAAAAGAGGGAGGGAGGGAGGGAAGAAGGAAGGAAGGAAGGAAGGAAGGAAAATAAGTGCATGTTGATTTCATTTGGGGAGAGCAACTGGCAAAGAAGGTGACCGAAAGAGGCTGAAAAATAATGGGAAAAGTTGATTGAACGTGACAAAAGATCAGGTTTGGTTTTATTCTTCTTTTTCAACGCCCAGTTGCAGAGGTGGAAATATAGATCCGCGCATTTTCTGTGACAAAAATCCCATAAATAAATAAATAAATAAAACAAATTAGATAAATAAATAAATAAATATACATACATACATACATACAAAGAATAAGATTGAAGCAGGAGAGGAGGAGGACCATCTGCCCAATCTGATTTCTGTCTCAAAAGTTTTGCTCCTTTTCAAGGAAAGAAGAAGAAAAAAAAGTGCCTCTATTTAAAAAAAAAAAAGTTTTCCCAAAAGCTGCCCAGCTGCTATACTTGACTTCTGTTCTAGGAGCCGGTCTGGGAGGGCGATTCGATTTGAGAATAAGGCATTTTTGTGTATGGATCTGTGCATTTAGTTCCTTTCTATTCGATTCGAGAATAAGGCATTTTTGTGTATGGATCTGTGCATTTAGTTCCTTTCTAAGGCAAAGCAAGGTTTTGTGTGTGTGTGTGTGTGTGTGTGTGTGTGTGTGTGTGTGTGCTATATTTGTGGGTACGGAGAAGTGGGGGATTGAAAAACCCCAAGCTGAACATTGTGTGAAGTCTCTGAGTTTGGGGTTGGGATGCTTTTGGAAAAGCAGGTCTCTGTCGATGTATTTGTTTGTGTGTGTGTGTGTGTGTGTGAGTAAGTGTGTGTGTGTGTGTTTCTTTGGGGAGCTTTTGCTTTGATCCCCAAATCATCAAAGGTGCAAGGCCTGGCTGCGTTGGGTGGGAGATGGGGGCCGAGGGGGGGGGTTCCTGAAGTGGTTCTTGAACTCAACCAGGCCCCCAATCGTGAAATTGACCAGCCACTGTGTGAAATTGACTTAAGTGGGGAAAGACGCAAAAGGTGGAAATTCCTGATCAGAGGCTGGAGGGGGGGGGGTCAGAGAGTTGGGAACTTGTTTGTGGGTTTGTACTTTAAAGAATGAGCCGGCTAGTCTAATTCACACACACACACACACACACACACACACACACACACACACACGTACCTCACACCCTGCCTGGAAATAAGCATGAGAAGGAGCCACTGGATTTTAAGGGGTATTTGGGATGCAAGGATGCAAGGCTGAGTTCAGTGGAAAAGGGGCTGACTTTTTGGCATGTGTGTGTGTGTGTGTGTGTGTGTTTGTGGATTTCTCTGTGTGCAGGGAATAAGGACCGAATGTCTATGGAGATTTTCAGACAAAGAAGCTTTTTCAAAAGGCAACTGGACTACACACACACACACACACACACATATGGGGGAAAAAACACACACACACAGTCCAGTTGTCTTTGGAAAAGCCCCTTTGAGGAATAAGGACTGGTTTGGCTTCATCATTCGCCTCACCTGTCCCCTTCTGCCCCCTCCCCAAATACTTCACCCCAACTTGGAGACAACCCTCTGGAGATGCCTGCTTGGAAAGACACCCCCCCCCCCGGTTTTTTTTTTTTTTTAACGAAAATGTCCTAGTAGGTCAGCCTGGATTGGGGCGAGCATTTCCTAGTTGTAGGGCAGGAGGGACCGGGATGAGGTTGGGGGGCGAAAGGGGGGCTACTCAGCCTAAATCGGGACTCTGAAACTTTCTTCTTTTTCTTTCTTTCTTTCCTTCTTTCTTTCTCTCCCTCCTTCTCTGGCACCTGCAATCCAGTACGATGATTTGGTACATTACGCCGGAATGGACGGGGGAGTGTCTCTGCCGGCCTTCGGGGACCCACATTCGGGCAGGGCTCTGCAACACCACGCGTTGAACCAGGGGGGCCCTTATGGAGCGGCGGGGGTTAACCACCGGCCGGGGATGCCTCCGGGACTGGGCGCCAACGACGCCTTGAAGAGGGAGAAAGATGAAATTTACGGGTGAGTTTCGCTGGGAAGCGCCTTTCTCCTCCGTTCTTGGCCCGCGCAAGGGGGTCTCTTTCCCCGGTCCTTCCCTCCCCCTCTGGGACCATCCGGACCAAACCTTTCTTTCCCCCCCCCTTTCTTCTCCCGAAAAGATCAGACGACTCGCTAGTTCGCGCCGCACGTCGGAACGCTTCTCCGCCGGCTCAGCCCGCGCGAAGCGGGCTTAAACACGGGAGTTCGAGGGAGCGGGAGGCGCCCGAGGGGTTCTTTACCAAGGCTCCCCTCCCGAGAAATCGTGTCTGGGGTGTAAAGAAGGTAGACGGAGTAAAGAGAAGACCCGTGTCCCCGCTGCTGGGCTTGCCCAAATGCAGGACAGATTCAATTCGGCTGGATCGCGGGATTACTTTCCCAGTAGATCGAAGGCGGGTTTTCTTCCTGGTCTCCCCCCCCCTCTCTCCTTGAGAGGTGTGATCACCGCCTTATTTGCCCAGGAACGAACCAGAATCAGAATAGAGCTGGAAGGGACCTTGAAGGTCTTCTAGTCCAGCCCCCTGCTCAAGCAGGCGACCCCATAATACCATCTCAGACGAGTGACTGTCCAGTCTCTTCTTAAAAACCTCCAGTGATGAAACAAGGGTGACTCCTGTTTTTGCCGTAAGCGACCGACTCGATCCCACCCCTCCGTTGATCTGCCAGATCAACTCTTGTTTTAGCGTCCCTTCCCTAATCCCAGATAGATCCTTGGGGTTTAGCTGGACCGTATGGCTCTCCCCGACCTTGCCCTCTTTTTTCGTTTGGAGGGATCCCCCACCTACTGGATCTCCCTTCCCCAGGGATCTTTTCTATCCTGAATTCCTAGAGATTCTTCTACTAACTACTGAACTAATTGAAGATCCTTAATTTAACTGAAGCTGGGGAATCTCCTGAAAAAAACATACATATATGTATCTTGCCTTGTTGCTAAGAAAGCTGCCTAGTGAGGGGATCTGCCTGCTTTTTGGGTCGAGGATCTGAGGAAGGAAGGAAGGAAAGGAAAGGAAGGAAGGAAGGAAGGAAGGAAGGAAGGAAGGAAGGAAGGAAGGAAGGAAGGAAGGAGAGTTTTATCCACTGCTCAGAAATGGATTTTTTTTCTTCTCTTCTTTCTCCCAGTTCCTTTTTAATCTCTGCCCGATCTCCTTCTTAAAACGGCCTGCTTGCCTTGGGCGGGTGGATTGTGTAAATCCACCGGAGAAATCAAGTATGAGCACCATTTCCAGCGAAACCCTGTGGATTTCCTTCTCTTGGTGGGCCTGGACACCCTTCACTTGACCTGGATGTGTTCCCAGGACACAATGAGAGCTGGGTCAGTTTTATTCTTCATGGGACAATACAGCCCCATCCCGTTCATCGATCATTTAGAGCGGTGTTTCTCAATCTTGGAAGCTTGACGTTGAGTGGACTTCAACTCCCAGAAGGCTGGGGAATTCTAGGAGTGGGTGTCCACTCATCGTCCAGTTGCCAAGATTGAGAAACCGTGATTTATTTGAGAGCATTCTGAGTATTCAGCCAACATATTTTTTTCTCCCCAGTAACAAAGTTAAGACTGATGCGTGGATATCTTTTTTTTATCCTGGCTGAGGAAGGAGGGATGCTTCTATGGGTGGGTAATTTAAAAAGGGCAGACGCTGGGACATTAATATTTTATTTACTTATTTCTTGGAGCTACAGTACCTCCCACCTACTGTTTAGGAGTTCATAGTATGCCCTGCGCTCATTTTGTCCCCAACACAACGGCCTGGTCTACGGGACGTTCTCCATCAACCAGGCTGTGGTTATCCCTTTTCCAAAGATGCTTTTTCCAAAAGGCAATTGGACTTCCTTGTATTGTTGTTTGTTTGTTTTTTCTCAAAAAAATGACTTTGGGGTAACAGATTTAGAGGGCATTATGATTAGGGCTTGATGGAGCTTCCCATTTCAGGGGCAGTCTACCTTAGACCACAAGGTCTGAACATCCCAAGCAACAGACTGGGTTGTTTTTGGGGGGGGGGGAAAGGAAACCGTTTGAGTCTCCTAATCCGTTTCTCCACAATTGGTAGGAATTTCTAAGAAGAAGGCAAGAAAGGAGCTGTGAGCTTCAACCGACTTGAGGGGGGGGGGAAATGATAAACTGCTCCCTCCCTGCTCAGCAGAGAATTTCCCCCCCTCCCTCCTTCCTTTAATTAATGTGATTTATCATTCCGAGTTTTGCATTTAGATGGTTCCACAAACAACTCTTTGATTCTTCCTGCGCTGTTTGAGGTGGAAACTTCCAATGGGGGAATGAATTTGGAAATGTTAAATTTCTGGGGCAGGAATGAAGCGTGTGTGTGTGTGTGTGTGTGTGTGTGTGTGTGTGTGTGTGTGTGTTTGTACACTTTTGTAAGACCAAAGAATAGATCCAGAATCTAGCTTCTCCAAGGTCATACCCTCAAGGAGTTGGGTGCAGTTTCCTTTGTACTGAATATATGAGTAAAAGAATTCCATTTATCATCCTCGAATACTATTTAAAGATGAAGCCCGATAAGGAAACTGGAATAGTTTCATTTTGCGGCACAGGGAACAGAAGCACAAAAGGCTTGGGGCAATCAGGGGCTGCCCTAAAGAAGAGGGAATCAAGCTATTTTCCAAAGCACCTGAAGGCAGGACAAGAAGCAACGGGTGGAAACTAATCAAGGAGAGAAGCAACCTAGAACTAAGGAGAAACTTCCTGACAGTGAGAACAATTAATCAGTGGAACAGCTTGCCTCCAGAAGCAGTAAATGCTCCAACACTGGAAGTTTTTAAGAAGAGACTGGACAGCCATTTGTCCGAAATGGTGTAGGGTTTCCTGCCCGAGCAGGGGGTTGGACTAGATGACCTCCAAGGTCCCTTCCAACTTTACTACTATTACTATTACTAATCACTAAACGGGAGGCCTGAATCCACCCAATCAGGTGTTCTCCTTCCTGGCCAGACAATATTGCAAGCCCACAAAGAAAACCTGAACATTTCCCAGGTATACTGCTACCGGACCTGGAGGCTCCACTTCTCCATTGGTATTAATCACTGCCCTCCTGTCTTCCTTCCGTGGCTTTGCCAAATCCAGCCTTGGGTGGATCCTTTGGCAATACTTAAATTCAAGACCACCAAATATAATCTTCCAGCGCAATCTTTAAAGGATGCATCTGGGGTGGGTAACTTTTCCATACTACAGGTGGTTCTCAACTTACGACCACTTGCACTGCAATTGTTAAGCGAGTAACATTGACATTGCTTGTTTGAAGATGGCAAAAGGGGATCACGTGACCCCGAGACTTTGCAGCCGTCGTCAATATGAGTCAGTTGCATCTGAATTTTGATCCCGTGACCATGGGAATGCTGTCGTAAGTGTGGAAAAAAAACGGTCCTAAGTCACTTCTCTTGGTGCCATTGTAACTGTAAACCAGTTTCCTCAAACAGAAAGACTTTAAAGCCGATGGATAAATTTCTCTCCGTCTTTAATTTGCATCTTAAAGAGCGAAGCGGCAAGCAGTGGTTTTAATTTTGCCATTTTTCTTCTCCGTAAATTGGAGGGGAAGGGAAAACGGATCACTGCAAGATTAAAACACACACACACATCCATCCTTGTTTTGTTTTTTCCTAGGAAAGCACAATGTTCTACAGTGCCACACACTTAACAGTTATTCCGTGCTGGGCCACTGTTGCAAATATTTGTGCAACATAGGGTGCATGAACTTGTATAATGTATAGTTGTCTCTCCCCTAGCTGTCCATCCAAATTCAGGTGGGGGGAAAAGGGGTGGGAGGAAAGGAATGGAGGGGTGGACTTCATGGATTGGAAGTTGGACACCCACCATGACATAAATCAGAGTGAGGAAAAAGCCAGAGTGCACCCCACCAGCAAGCACAATCTTTAAACTAACTTTAACCCTAGACGCACAGACGCAAAAGTTGCTAATGGTGCATGCAGACTTTTAATCTTTTCCTGAAACCGTTTCAGCCTTCACTCTTTCTTTGCAAAGTTACAGATCTTTTCCTCTCTTTACCTGGTTGAACTGCTGTATTTCTGATGTAGAGAAAAATGGAAGGATGGTGATTTTTTTTAAAGGTCACTAAGGCTGAGAAAGACTGAAATAAGGGGTTTTTTTTGGAAATAAGGGGGAATTTCCTGACAGTGAGAATTATTAAGCTATGAAACAGCTTGCCTCCATCGCTGGAGGTTTTCAAGAATAGAATAGAATAGAATAGAATAGAATAGAATAGAATAGAATAGAATAGAATAGAATAGAATAGTATGGAATAGAATAGAATTAGAATAGAATAGAATAGAATAGAATAGAATAGAATAGAATAGAATAGAATAGAAAATAGAATAGAATTAGAATAGAATTACAAATTAGAATAGAATAGAATAATAAAAATAGAAAATAATAGAAAATAGAATAGAAAGTAGAATAGAATTAGAAATTAGAATAGAATAGAGTAGAATTAGAATAGAATAGAATTAGAATAGAATAGAATAAGAATAGGAAATAATAGAAAATAGAATAGAATTAGAATAGAATTACAAATTAGAATAGAATAGAATAATAATAGAAAATAGAATAGAAAGTAGAATAGAATAGAATTACAATAGAATAGAGTAGAATTAGAAATTAGAATAGAATAGAATAATAAGAATAGAAAATAATAGAAAATAGAATGGAAAATAGAATAGAATAGAATTAGAAATTAGAATAGAAAATAGAATAGAATAGAATAGAATTAGAAATTAGAATAGAATAGAATAATAAGAATAGAAAATAATAGAAAATAGGATAGAATAGAGACTAGAATAGAATAGAAATAGAATTAGAACAGAGCAGAGCAGAACAGAACAGAATAGAATAGTAGAATAATTAACTTTATCGTCACTTTGAATGTACACTAATTGGCATACATTAAAATGAAATTTCGTTGCATTCAGCTCTCAAAGATTGGACATCCGTTTGTCCAGGAATCAATAATGTTTCCTGTCTTGGGCAGAGGGCTGGAGTAGAAGACATCCAAGCCATGTCCCTTCCAGGCCTATGATTCTATGATCCCATGGTTTTGTTTTTCCTCCTTATTTTTCTTTGGGGGGGGGAGAAGCCCTTCCCCGACGACGTGCACACAGGAGTCCTGCAATGAGGCTGCACATTGGTGACTCAGCATGATGCACATTGATGCTACTCTGGTGGAGGAGGCACCGTTGCATCGTGATAGACGTGGCGATTATTGTACTGGAGAGTTTTCAGCTGTTAGTGAGATGGCCAAGGAGGAATGGAGAAGAGATGGAGCTGGGAAAAATATTTTGCCGATTTTTTTCCGTTCTACTGACTTCCTGTAAATCTTCTACTAAATTTAGAAAGCCTGCCTGTAGCCTCCGGTTTGTTCCTGGAGCATGATGCCCTTTTGAAATGGTGGGGAGGGGGGAAGAGTTTTTTTTTTTTTAAGAGAAGCAGGCAGAGGAGGCTTTTGAAGTCTTACTGAATTCCTTTCAAGGGCGGCCCTAGGAGACTTGTGGAGAAAAGCGAAGATGGGGACCTTCCGTTTCCTGGATTGAAAAGTGTGCTCCCTTCTCTTGAACAGTCAAGATTTGTTTGTGGGGGATCTTGGTGCTCTCTGAGCTTGATGATTTTCTTGCAGACGTTTTGTGACCCAACTAGGAAAGATCATCAGTGCTAGAAGGGAGTGGTGTTTGTTTATAAACCGCACTCCTTTCTAGCACTGATGATGTTCCCTAGTTGGGTGGTGAAATGTGAGAAAACAACCAAGCTCAGAGAGCACCAAGGATCTCACAGTCTTCTTCTTCTTCTTCTTCTTCTTCTTCTTCTTCTTCTTCTTCTTCTTCTTCTTCTTCTTCTTCTTCTTCTTCTTCTTCTTCTTCTTCTTCTTATTCTTCTTCTTCTTCTTCTTCTTCTTCTTCTTCTTCTTCTTCTTCTTCTTCTTCTTCTTCTTCCTCTTCTTCTTCTTCTTCTTCTTCTTCTTCTTCTTCTTCTTCTTCTTCTTCCTCCTCCTCCTCCTCCTCCTCCTCCTCCTCCTCTTCTAGCACTGATGATGTTCCCTAGTTGGGTGGTGAAATGTGAGAAAACAACCAAGCTCAGAGAGCACCAAGGATCTCACAGTCCTCCTCCTCCTCCTCCTCTCCACAACCCCCCCCCCTTCTAGCACTGATGAGGATACCTAGTTGGGTCATGAAATGTCTGCAACAAACCCACCAAGCTCAGAGAGCACCAAGGATCCCATAGTCCTCCTCCTCCACCTCCTCCTCCTCCCCCTGCTCCTCCTCCTCCTCCCCCTCCTCCACAGAATCTGCTCCCTTCTAGCACTGATAATGTTCCCTAGTAGGGTCCTGAAACGTCTGCAAGAAAACCACCAAACTCAGAGACCATCCACAGTTCACTCCTGTGCTGCAAATATTCTCTTCTGTGGGTAAAGATCTGAGTTTCTTCCCACCAAGAGCTCCGATGAACCGAGCTTTCAACACATCCCGCGTGCCTTGGCTGGAAGCTGCCTGCAGCTGGTTTGCCCCAACACTCTTCCTTCTTCCTTTCAGGCACCCCCTGTTCCCTCTGCTCGCCCTGGTCTTTGAGAAATGTGAGCTGGCCACCTGCTCTCCCAGAGACACGTCCGGTTCTTACCCCGGAGGAGACGTCTGCTCATCGGATTCCTTCAATGAAGACATTGCTGTCTTCGCCAAACAGGTTGGTTTCTGCAGAAGGGACGGCATCGCAGAGAGGGAGAGAGACGAGGGAGTCTGGGCAGTAAAAAAAATAAAAATAAAATATACTTATAAATATGTTTTCTCATTTAATCGTCCAGAAGAATGTTTCTTAGCCCACTGGTTAGCTGTACATCATTTATGTCTCACTCAGCTTCTTTTGATGGCTCTTAGTTTGGTCTCCTGGAAGCCGTGGGCTGGACTGGACAGCCCCTGGTCTGAAATGGTGTAGGAGGGTCTCCTGCTCAAGCAGGGGGGGGGTTGGACTAGAAGACCTCCAGGGTCTCTTCCAGCTCTATTCTGATTGATTCAGTTCTAAACTCATCACATCAAGTGACTGGCTCCTAAAAAGCTTGCATTCAGTTAAGGTCTTGGAATAAAATCTGAAAGAGACATTTTTTTTCTTGGATAAAGACGTGTGGTACAAAGAAGTGTTGAGCTGTAGCATATTTCAGCAGATGAGGAATTTTTATGGAAAGATAGATAGATAAATAGATAGATAGATAGATAGATAGATAGATAGATAGATAGATAGATAGATAGATAGATAGATGGATGGACAGATGGACGGACGGATGGACAGACGGACAGAGAGATATTGATATGACAAATATAGAGAGATGATAAAGAGATATGACATAGGATAGAGAGATGATAGATGATAGATAGATAGATAGATAGATAGATAGATAGACGGACAGACGGATAGACAGACAGGCAGACAGATATAGATATGACAGATAGAGATAAATGATAGAGAGATATGACAGAAAGAAGATAGATAGATAGATAGATAGATAGATAGATAGATAGATAGATAGATAGATAGATAGATAGATAGAATAGATCAAAAGAATAGATGGATGGATGGATGGACGGACGGATGGACGGACAGACAGATATAGATATGACAGATATAGATAGATGATAGAGAGATATGACATAGGATAGATAGATAGATAGATAGATAGATAGATAGATAGATAGATAGATAGATAGATAGATAGACAGATGATTGAGATAGAAAGAGAGAAAAATGATAGGTAGACACCCCATGTCCTTAAAAAGCAATTATTAGAAAGTTCTCATTAACCAAATATTAACATTTTCAATATATGGGCCTTCCGCTTGGCGAACCGTTTCAGACAGTAGCAGCAAATGTGGTAGAAAGCTAACTCCACCGTGAGACAGGGAGCTGAGACTGCTGAAACATCTACAATCCCAGGAGGTCCTGATGTAGTTTGATCCAAAGCACGTGAGATCTCCTGAACTGTCTTAAAGAGATGTTTTAGCTTTTGGGAGGAGGTAGCTATGAGGTTCCTCCCTCCCATCCAGGATTTTTGAGGCTTCCATAGTGGAAATTGAGAGTCAAACTTGAAAGTTGAAGACCCCCCTACTTAGGACTGTTTTCGCTGCAACTTTGGACCATGGTTTGAGAGCCTGGTATTAAAGTGTGAAATGGTCTTGCAAGAGGAGCACCTAGGGCCATTTCTCAAACTTGACAACTTTTAAGTCATTTGGACTTCAACTCCCAGAATTCCCCAGCCAGCAATGTGGAAGACCATCCGTTGGAGTTGAAGTCCACCCATCTTAAAATTGCTGATTTTGAGAAACAGTGCTTTATAGTTTTTAGAGCAGTATAGAAATCCTGTTAAGTAAACAACATAATGTTAATAAAGAATACTGTCACGGGTGTGGAAGAAGAATATGAGTGGAGCAATGAGGCAAACGTTGAATTGTGGGAGTGGAAGCCCACCCCTTTTAAAGCATGCAGGCTGGGGAATTGTGGAAGCCCACCCCTCTTAAAGCATGCTGGCGGGAGAATTCTAGTGTGAGTGTTTTCTTTATTCTATAAATTCCGATGCTCCAATAGCCGATAAAGATTGTGAATTCACCATCTGTGACCCAAATATTTCCATATTTTCCCATTGTCCATAACTGGCAAGACAGGGGCATGTGTGGGGAAGAAGATGATCAAAAAAATGAGGAATGTGACATTTTTCAGTGCCGTTGTAACTTTGAACGGTCACTAAACAAACTGTTGTAAGTTGAGAACTACCTGTATAGGATTTTTTTTTTTTTTTGCCTTCTCTCGGCTCACACAGTACCAGTCCTGAAGACCCTGTGTTATTTCTAGCTGAGAAACCATCATTCAAACCCAAATTATACGTTATTTGATCTCGACGACTTGAGGTCTTGCATAAAAGAAAGAAGATAACAATAAAAATACTTCCATACAATTTCTTCTCTCTCGGCTTGTTATCCAGGCCAAAATAATGAAAGTCTGTCTCCCTCTCTCAATGGGTGAACACACCCATTGATCTGAGACTTTATTATGGATCATTGCATAGTCAGCCAGATGTTCAGACTGGATTTGGCATTTTGTCTACCTATCGAGTCCTTACCCAGGACCTGGGATAGGCAGATGTGGATGTTTGATGGTATTACAGATATCGTCGCAGGATGGAAGCAGTTCCTAATAAGGCCGCCTTTTGCAATTGACTAATAGCGAATTTGTCAATGCCAATGGTGTTCAAGTGGTGCTCCAGTTGTTTTGGGATTGCACCCAAGGAGCCTATGACTATTGGTACTACCCTTGCTTGCTTTTGCCACAGTCTTTCTATTTCTATTTGTAGGTCTTTGTATTTTGTTATCTTCTCCAGTTCTTTCTCGTCTATTCTGCTGTCTCCAGGCACTGCCACGTCCACTATCCAGACTTTTTTGTCTTTCTTATCAACAATTGTTAAGTCTTTCTTATCGATAATTGTTATTATTATTATTATTTAAAAATCTACATTTAGGATGATTTATCTCAGTGATGGCGAACCTTTTAGAGACCGAGTGCCCAAACTGCAACCCAAAACCCACTTATGCATCGTCGGGTGCTGGCATGGCCAATTGGGTGGGCGTGGCCAATTGGGTGGGTGTGGCCAATTGGGTGGGCATGGCTGCGGTGGTAACGGCAGACTGGGTGGGACTAAAAAGTTCGATCAATCAATTCCAACTTTGCAAGATCTTTTTTTTTCCTGCAAGAAGTTGAAATTGACTGATTGATTGAACCTTTTTTTTTTTTTTTGCACATGGCGGCGGAGGTCTAAAGCAAAAAGGTTTTATAAAATCCAGCTGAAGGCCTAGGATTCGTGTGACAGCTCGTGTGCCCACAGAGAGGGCTCTGAGTGCCACCTCTGGCACCCGTGCCATAGCTTTGCCACCACTGATTTATCGGCTTGCTAACACAACCAAATCTGTCAATGTTTCAAAGCCAAAATCTCCCTTGCTTGCGCAGACTGAGTTTTGCTTTAGGAAAACCGTTTCTGTGTCTGGAACAAGCAGAGAACATCCATATGTTAGAAGACAGAATAATGATAATATTAGCCTAATGTTCTTTGGTTGGAAAATGGGATTTAAGGGGTGGGAGAAGATTGAGAGAGCTTTCTAAAGAGCAGAAGAAATAACTCAATCCTTTCCTTCCATCCATCACTGGGTTGCCTGGGCTTCAAACTTCACGCCCCACCCGGTGAGGATTTTAAACCTCTAAGTTCAAAAGTGGCGTTGCAAGATGCCTTCAAAATGCCCTTCCAAAAGAATGAAGAATGGAAGCACGCAGCATCCGGGCTTGGCGGCAAATTTTTTTTTTTTTTTTAAATGCTCCTTGCTTTTCAACTCTCCAAATCCTTAAAAAAGAAAAAAGAGGGTCTTAAGCTCCTGCTTTACAAACCTTTCTTTTGTCGTTATCCGGAGAAGGAAAACATGACTTTGGGTTTCGTTTTGTTTATTTTGCAACTGAAGAAGCGAAGTCAAAGACGGAGATTTAGCCTCTCCGCCTCCTGCAGTGCTTTTAAAAGTATAGAAATAAACCTTATCAGCCAGAGGTCCCCAACCCCCGGAGGCCACAGCACACTACCGGGCTGCGGCCCGTTCAGAACCAGACCGTGGAAGCGGTAGTTTAGCGCAAGCGCAGCTCCATTTGTGCGCACGGCTCTGTTTGCGCTAGCAGAGGGTGCACGTGCCCGGCACTCATGCGAATGGTGCTGCACACCTGTGAGCGTGCTCACCTGCAGCTCGTGCAGGACCATCCTCTTCCCCCCCCCTCCTGACTCCCGCCGGTCCACAAAGGTGGAAAGGTTGCAGACTTCTGTTATTGATGAGTGCTTCTTAGCAAGGTGGCTGGAGAATTCTGGGAGTTGAAGTCCACCCATCTTAAAGTGCTCCAGGTTTATGAAAAGATGCTTTGGGGGTTTCTGATTCTCAGATTTGCCAAACGGGGTCCTTGCTGGGATCTCTTTAAAGTGCAGGCAGTCCTCAGCCTTCGTTTAGTGCCCGTTCAAAGTTACAACGGCATTGCTACTGTTATTGGTAGGGCAATATTGGAAGAAGGATTGCTTGCCTACTATAGAAGAATTAACGCTTAAAGTGTGAAACTTAGCAGAAATGGCTAAGATTTCTGCTTATTTGAAGGATCATTCACAAGAAAGACACATTTCAGTTTGGAGAAGATGGATAGATTATATTCAGAATAAATATGGGACTAAAAAGTTCCACTTAGTTTATGAGTAAATCTTAGAGTATTATTAATAGTTTATTATAGTGGAATATTATTATTATTTTTAGTATTAGTATTGTTTAACAATTTGGATATTGCATTGTTTAATAATTAGCTTAATAATTAGGATATTATGTTTGTTTATGTTTTTATTATTATTATGTTTACTTTTAATTTGTTTATATTTATGCTAAAGGGGAGTTAAAGCGTATTATGGACTTGGTTATTGATATAGTTGGTTAATGTTAGTTAGATTATGATTATTATAATTGTAACCCTGTATTCAGCTCTGGGAAGTGGGGGAGGGGGGGGTTTAAGGTGGGTTGGTTTTGGGGTTTATATTGTAACTTTTATAAAACTCTTCAATAAAAAAAAAAGTTACAACGGCATTGAAAAATGTGACTTATGACCGGGTTTCAAAGTCACGACCTTTGCAGCAGCCCCATGATCAGGTGATCAAAATTCAGATGCTTAGCGACTGACTCACATTTACGATGGTCGCAGTGTCCCGGGGGGGGGGTCACCTGATCCCCTTCTGCGACCTTCGGACAAGCCAAGTCAATAGGGCAAGCTGGATTCGCTTAACAACCGGGTTACTGACTTATCAAGTGCAGCGATTCGCTTTAGGACGGAGGCCAAAAAAGGCTGTAAAATGGGGCAAAACTCCCTTAACCAATGTCTCACTTAACAACAGAAATTTGGGCTCGATTGTGGCCATAACTTGAGGACTACTTGTAGCCATCTCCCCCCCTCCCCCCAGATTTTTGGAGAGAGCCTATGAGGTGTAAAGCTATTGAGCCCTCTGGAAAAATTTGCCACCGCAGGGATTTCATCTCATTTCCTTTCTGAAGGGAGACAGGGAGAGAGAACTGGCCTTGTGTTTCCAAACAGGGTCTGTGTGTGTGTGTGTGTGTGTGTGTGTGTGTGTGTGTTTGTGTGTGTGTGTAGGAATTTTAGCAAAGGCAGAGGGGGAAGAGATAATTTTGGAAAAAGTAAAATGCACAGATTCTTTGCCAGCTGGAATTCTCCATGGGGGGGGGGAATCACTTCATTTTGCCAGTTGCTTCGCAGGTTTTTTTTTTTTTTCTTCTAGGAAGTGAGAAAAAACAGATTTTACTTTAGGTTTTTTTTTGTGTGTTTTGTTTTTTCTTTCCAACAATGCACGGCTTAGATTTCCCTCTGTTGTGTTTCCCCCTTACTAACGCTCCTTCTCTTTTCTTCTGTTTCTCCGTCCCTGCTCCCCACCTTCCCAATGTCTCCTTTTTTAGGTTAGAACAGAAAAACCTTTATTTTCTTCCAATCCTGAGCTGGATAATTTGGTAAGGATGCTACTTGTTTCCTTTTTTAAAACAAAAAAACAAAATCACAAAACGAAGAGGGGAATCCCCAAAGTGTTGTTCTGTGTCAAACTTTGTTTTCATTCTCTAATGATACCCCCCCCCTTTCATTTCTCTGTCTGCTGAATCGGTCACTCCTCTTTACACACACACACACACACACACACACACACACACACACACTCACTCACCCCGGTGGGATTTATCGCTTTGGGTTCAATAGTTGGCAACAGCCAAGTGGGAGTCAAATCCAGCCAAAATATTTTTAAGTCAAATTCTGCCTTTTAGTCCTTTGTGCCCTATAAAAGTCTGTCCTTTGGGGGGGGGGGAGATTGCAGCCTACCTCGTTGGGTTGTTGTGCTCTGGAATGGTTCCCCTTGAAACTGGGATTCTTTGCTCTACCCAACCTCATGCTTTTCAGGCTGGCTGGCTGACTATTCTGAGGCTTTCCAGTTTAGAGAAGACTGTCAGATTTTGACGACTTTTAGACTTTCCAATAGAGAAGAACAACTAAGATGATTAAAGATCTGGAGAGAGAAAAATATATATGAAGAACAGTTGCAGGAATTGGGTATGGCCAATTTAGACATGAGAAGGACTAGGGGTGACATGAGAGTAGCCCCCCAGTATTTGAGGGGCTGACACAAAGAAAGGGGGGGGCAATCTATTCTCCAAAGTGCCTGAAGGCAGGACAGGAAGCAACGGATGGAAACTCATCAAGGAGAGAAGCAACTTAGAACTAAGGAGAAATTTCCTGACAGTGAGAACAATTAACCAATGGAACAACCTGCCTCCAGAAGCGATGAATGCTCCAACACTGGACAGCCATTTGTCTAAAATGGTATAGGGTTTCCTGCCTGAGCAGGGGGTTGGACTAGATGACCTCCAAGGTCCCTTCCGACTCTATTCTGACAAGGGACAAAAAAAATTAATATATCAAGTGTTGGGGAATTTAGGCGAGAGAGAGGAATCATTTCTGCCTTATTTATTTTTATTTATTTATGAGACTTATATACCACTTTAAGTGCAAGCACTCTCTAAGCGGTGTACACCAGTAAGCAATGTATATATATATATTTACATTGCCCCCAACAATCTGGGTCCTCATTTTACCTACCCCGGAAGGATGGAAGGCTGAGTCAACCTTGAGCCGGTAAGATTTGAACCGCTGACCTGCTGAACATAGTTAGCTAAAGTGGCCTGTAGTGCTGCACCCTAACTGCTGTGCCACCTCGGCTCAGATGCAGACATTTTAAGCCTCCCTGTCCAAGCCATGATTTGGATCAAGATTTCTCCTCGAGGGACGACTTCCGTTGTGAATAAAAACCTTAAAAATCCAGCTGACCTACGGTATGGCCTAACCCTAGATCAGTGGTTCTCAACCTGTGGGTCGGGACCCCATTTGGGGTCGAACAGCCATTTCACGGGGGTCGCCAAACAAGGCTGTCCGCCATTTTTCCCCCTTTTCTTTGGCCACGCCCCTGGCACCCGGTGATATATAAGTGGTTGGGGGGTCACCACAACCTGGGGAACTGTATTATGGGGTCGCGGCATTAGAAAGCTTGAGAACCACTGCTCTAGATGTTCAAAATAATAATAATATATATAAAAAAAACCATTACGTCCTGCAAAATGCATTGCAATAAACAAACATACCTTTACACGGTAAGCCCCAATCAATTTTTTTTCCCCTCCCTGTTCTAATTGTAGATGATCCAGGCTATCCAAGTGCTGAGGTTTCACCTCCTGGAGTTAGAAAAGGTAAGGGGTATTTTCCAAAGTTTGGTTCGAGTCCCACTCCTCTCCTCCCCTTCCTTTCTCCCCACTAACCTCCAAAAAATAAAATAAACAGGAGACTAGCAATTTTGCCAAACAAAGCAGGAAATCTGTTTTATGCAGCTTTTTTAAAAAAAAAGAATGTAATTTTTTTTTTTTTTTGAGTCGGTTTTTGGCTGGTGACTACTGCCTCAACAAATCCCTGCAGTTTTTTGGAGCGGGGTAAAATTTCAGGAGTGGTTTGCCATTGCTTATTTCTTAGGGCCAAGAGAGACTGGCTGGCCCAAGGTCACCCAGCTGGCTTTGTGCCTAAAGGTGGGCGTACAAGGCAGAACATCCCAGGCTGTGTTCTTTTCTTTTGTTCTTATTTTATTTATATCCGGCCCGTATTATTTGGACGTGGCACTCAAGGCAAGCAGACGTACCAAATGAGGTTTGCTATTAAGCAGCAGAGCTGCAAGCGTATACGATTATCTCTGTGGAAACACATTTAAGTTTCTACAAATATATGAAAACCTGGATTTTTCAGCCCACACAGGTGTTCGTGTTCTGCCAACTGCCTCATTTTGAAACACATTTGCATTTTTACGTTTCCATGCATTGGCGGGGTTGGTAGAGAACGGCCTGATTCTGTTGCCTAAGAGCTGGAGAGAATTTTCTGTCCAAGCAACAGCCAAACCTCTGCAAAGATTATTTAGCATCCATACCTCTCCGTTAAAACTTCAAATGTGTCTACCTTGACCCTCAAGAGGACTGGGACCTTTGCTTTTTCCTTTCCACAAAATCGAAGCAAGCAGGCCTCAGATTGCCAGCGGTATCTATCAACGCCTCATCTCCACACGTTTTTCCATGTTTCCGTAAAATGGTCCCCACCACTTTTGTCCTGGAAAAAAAAATTGTTTTGGGGATGTCTCTTGGAACAGCGAAGCAAAAAAAAAAAACCCCTCGGGATTTATCGAGGAGTGGAGGAACTTTGTTATCTCCAATGATGGAATTTAAAAGAAAACAAAAACCAAATTCTGCTCCAGCAACAAACAATTTTTTTTTTTTTGCAAATAGTTCCCTTTTTCTGACTCCCAACAGCAGCTGGCTCCAATTGGGAGACTCTCCTCCTATGGAAGCGACACAGAGAGAAGATTTAAAAATAGATTTTGAATCCAGAGGGTTCGATCAAGAGATCTGGCGTTAGACTCTGGGGGTACCCAGTGGAAAGCTGCCCCCCCCCAAATGCTTCTGTGCTTTGCTTGAAGACACAGGCTTAGACTTGATACGACTTAGGCTTTTTTCAACCTTGGTAATTTTAAGAGCTGTGGAATTCTGGGAGCTGAAACCCACACTTCTTGAAATTGCCATGGTTGAAAAACACTGCTTTAAGGAGACTTGAAGTTATATCATTTCTTTCTTTCTGCAATTTATATTCCAATCAGTTCTGAAAAAAGCTTTTATCTTCTTCCCGTCCCCTTCTTCTTTTCCTTTCCCTTCCCTTCCCTTCTCCTTCTCCTTCTTTCTCTTTTTCCTTCGCCTTCTCCTTCCACTTTCCTTCCCCTTCTCCTTTTTCTTTCTCCTTCTCTTTCTTTCTTCTTCTCCTTCCCTTCCTTTCTCTTCTCCTTCTTTCTCTTTCTCCTTCTTCTCCTTCTTTTTTCTTCTCCTTCCCCTTTCCTTTCCTTTCTTTTTCCTTCTCCTTCTTTCTCCTTCTCCTCCTTCCTTCTCCTTCTCCTTTCTTTTTCCTTCTCCTTCTCCTTCTTTTTCTTTCTCCTTCTTTCTTCTTCTCCTTCCCTTCCTTTCTCTTCTCCTTCTTTCTCTTTCTCCTTCTTCTCCTTCTTTTTTCTTCTCCTTCCCCTTTCCTTTCCTTTCTTTTTCCTTCTCCTTCTTTCTCCTTCTCCTCCTTCCTTCTCCTTCTCCTTTCTTTTTCCTTCTCCTTCTCCTTCTCCTTCTTTTTCTTTCTCCTTCTCCTTCTTTCTTCTTCTCCTTCCCCTTTCCTTTCCTTTCCCTTCTCCTTCTTTCTCCTCCTTCTCCTTCTTTCTTTTTCCTTCTCCTTCTTTCTCTTTCTCCTTCTTTCTTCTTCTCCTTCCCCTTTCCTTCCCTTCTCCTTCCCTTTCCTCTTTTTTCTCTTTTTTTCTTTCTTCCTTTCCCCCTCCCTCCCCTTCCAGGTTCACGACCTCTGCGACAACTTCTGCCACCGCTACATCACCTGCCTCAAAGGCAAGATGCCCATCGACTTGGTGATCGATGACCGAGACGGAGGGTCCAAGTCCGACCTGGAAGACTTCGGGGCTGCTTGTCTCTCTGACCAGGTGGGTCCAACGTTGGGCAGCCTTTTGGCCCGGACAGCCAAGGTGGCCAACGCCGCCATTTGCCCTGCCGGAGCTGGGGGCAGAAGCGGGGGGGGCACTAATAGCCCCCTTAGAGGCAGAAATTGCAGACCCCTAGTCATCTCCCTTCTGGGCTGGGGTGCTTTGGGGGCCGTGATCCCCCCCCCCAAGTGCGAATGGCTGGGTCAGATGGCAGCTTCCCCCCCATCTTTGAAGGGGGGGGGGACTGTGGGAGACGCTCCGGCTTCCCCTCCTCTTTCTTTTGACAGCCACGCCGCATGTGGAAGCCTTTATCTGCCTGTGCAGATGTGCCGGTTTTGGCAGGAATCGGATTTCTTTCACAAAGGCTGGTTTTTTTGTTTTTTTGGCCAAGAAGTTTGTGTGTTCTCGTATTGTTGGGCCCTTCAAAGGGAAGGCGATGTGGCAGCAATTGCACAATGACTTTTCTTTGCAATGTCACGTTTGGCATTATCTTTTTTTTTTTTTTTGCTCCGTGGAAACTCAGGCTTGGATGAGTTGCCTGTTGTGGTCATTTTCTCCACACTGCCTACCAGTTGTTGCACAGCCCTCTGAAAAAGGGCGGAAAAAGGAATAAAGGCCCCCCGCTTTATTCCTTCCGTTTATTCTTATTTGTTATTCAGTAATTTATTTTTTCCTTGCTTCCTGCTTTTCTTTTTCTTTCTTTCCTTTCTTTCTTTCTTCCTTCTTCTTTTTCTCCCCACTCTTTTTCCCTTCATCCCTCTTTTTTTCTTTCCTTCCTTCCTTCCTCCCTTTCTCTTTCTCTCTCTCTCTTTCTTTTTTCTTTCTTTCTGTATTTCCTTCCTCTCTCCTCTCTTGGTCTCTTCTTCCCTTTTTCCTTCTTCCTTTCCTTTCCCCTTCTTTCCTTCCTTCCTTCCTTTCTTCCTTCCTTCCTTCTTTCCTCCCTTCCTCCCTTCCCTTCCCTTTCCTTTTCCTTCCTTCCTTCCTTCCTTCCTTCCTTCCTTCCCTTCCCTTCCTTCCTTTCCTTCCCTTCTCTTTCCTTTCCTTCCCTTTCCTTTCCCTTCATTCCTTCCTTCCTTCCTCTCCCTTCCTTTTCTTCTCCTTCTCCTTTCTTCTCTTTCTCCTTCCCCTTCCCCACCACCTCCATCCTTGCAACATTCATAAGTTGCAAAGAAAAGGGTCAGGGTCTGGGAAATTAATCACCCCTGACAGTGAGCTGGTGTTGAAGGAGACGGGGTTGGCCAGTGTGTTATCTCCCACCCCTCAATCCTCCCGTCCCCACCACAGGCTTCTCTCTCTCTCTCCTCCAAGCCCGCTAATGCAGCACTGTTTTCTTCGCTGCAAGCGCCTTGCCTGAATTTTTAATGCCCCCGCAGGCTACGGGGTCTTGTTGTCGGAAGATTTGAGGGGCAGAGGGGCTTTTTTATGGGGGGGGGAGAAACACAGGAGAGGAGGAGAAAGGTGGAGAAAAAAAGGCCTTTCCTAGATAGGTCGGACAGCTGATCTCCAAGATGGGCACCGGAACATGGGAACAAACAGAAACAAACCGGCTGCGTAAAGCCTTGCTTCAAAGCCTCTTCAGGCAGCCTCGCTATTGCAGATAGACCCCACCAGGTGACTTGGAGTTCTAGTTCCATCTTAGGTACAAAAAGCGGCAGGGTGACTGCGCCAATCACTAGGAAGTGGTGAATTCTAGTCTGAGCTTAGGCGTAAAATCTGGCTGGAAGACTTTGGGCCAATGACCAGGAGACTGGGAGTTCTAGTCCCCCCCCCATGGCACGGAAACCAGATGGGTGACTTTGGGCCAGTCACCAGGAGACTGGGAATTCTAGTCCCACCTTAGGCACGGAAGCCGGCTAGGTGACTCTTTACCAATCACCAGAGGCGGTGAATTCTAGTCTGAGCTTAGGTGTAAAATCTGGCTGGAAGACTTTGGGCCAATGACCAGGAGACTGGGAGTTCTAGTCCCCCTTGTGGCACGGAAACCAGATGGGTGACTTTGGGGCTGGCTAGCCCAATTCACCTCACAGGGTTTTTGTGGGGTGGAAAATAGGATTTGTAAAAATATTATTTGTAAAAATAATAAAGGCCGGATACCAATCAACTAGCCATTCCACCCCCCAGTTCATTTTCCACACACCCCCCACCGCCACCCACCCCTTTCCATTGTCAGTTATCCATCCATCCCAGATCCAAAGAATTTCCTCGCTGCTCCATAGCCAGGGAGAGCCCTTCCTTTCCCCAAGCCCCCTCCCCACCAGACGTTGCTGCTTGAGATCCCAAGCCTGTGCAGCAGTGAAACCCCCCCTTCCCCGCCTTGGAAAAAAACCCCTCCCACGCCGTTCCCTTTTAGGGGCAGTGGGGTCTTCGAATGGGATGGGGGTCTCGGATTGCCCAGGGCCCAGCCTCGTCTGGGGGGGGCAGCTCTGCGATCCAGGCCCAGGGCTGCGGGCCAAGTGGTCGGGTCTGGTCCTCATTAACTGGGAGTGTTGCTCCCTTCGCTTTCCAGAGCTCCTAACAGCGACCCCCTGACCCTCCCCAAGTGCCCCCCTTTCTCACTGACTGTGGGCTGCAAGTGCCGAATCCCTCCTCTAAAGCCGCAGCTCCTTAACCCCCTGAACCCTCCGCCCCGTCTTTGCAGGACTCCTGTGATCAGTGGTGGCGGGTTAATGAGGCAGGGCAGCAGGGCTGGGGGTGCAATCCCCCCCCTGCCTGGCCAGTGGGGAGGGGGCTGCAACCCGAGCCCCTTCGGTAGCTGCCTGGTTCCTCCCCAGAGGAGCCCGGAGAGGCCCCGCTTGTACCCCTTTGAACTCGGTTCAGTGGGTTGAAGGGAGGGGGGGCAGGATAATGACAGAGGGGAGAAATCCCCACAAAGCTGCTGGGAGGGGGGTAGTGGGGCAGCAGTGGGGGGGGGGAGAAGGGGAGAAGGAGGAAGGGGTTGCCATTTTTTAAAAAATCAGGGCAGTTTCCTGCTTCTTCCCCTGCTTGGCGGGAGGCAGCGATCCGAAGCTATAGGAAGGCCAGTTGCAGGAATTGGGTAGGGCTGTTTAATGAAGGAAAGGACGTAGGAGGGGGAAAGGATAGCAGCCTTCAAGTATTTGAAGGGTTGCCCCAAAGAAGAAGGGGTCCCCCAAAGTGCGTGAAGGCAGGACAAGAAGCAACGGATGGAAACTCATCAAGGAGAGAAGCAACCTGGAACTAAGGAGGAATTTCCTGACAGTGAGGACAATTAACCAGTGGAACAGCTTGCCACCAGAAGTTGTGGGTGCCCCATCACTGGAGGGTTTCAAGAAAAAAACTGGATAGCCAGTTGTCTGAGATGGTATAGGCCAGGGTTTCCTGCCTGAGCAGAGGGTTGGACTAGATGACCTCCAAGGTCCCTTCCATCCTTATTAGCTTAGGGACTCAGGGTGTGCAAATGTGGAACTTGGATGATTTTTAAGGGGCAAAAGAAGGGGGAACACAGCCAGAGAATCCTGGTTTGTTTGCCCTAGTCCTTCTTTGCATTAAACTAGACATACACAGTTCCCGCAACCGTTCTTCATACGTTTTAGCCTTCAGTTCCCCTGTTCATCTTTGTGGCTCTTCTCTGCACCCTTTCCAGAGTCTCTTTTTTATATTGGGGTGACTCGCACCCCGGTGTTTGGTCTCCGTGAATGATGCTCCCTTCTCTTTGTGTGCAGAGCAACTCCTGGATCCGAGACCACGATGAGACGGGATCGACCCCCTCAGGGACGCCGGGACCCTCCAGCGGTGGGGTTGCCTCCCAAAGTGGAGACAACTGCAGCGAGCAAGGTACTCGGAGGTTGCAAGGGAGGCGGTGGAGATCCTACAGGTTCACTAGGGGAGGAACCGGAGCGTGCAAACTGCACATAGGAGAAGGCGACATTTTACACAATGTTCAAAAGGCGGTCAGGATTGGAAAACCTCACAGTTTATTGATTTGTTGTTTTTTTTTATCTCCCCTTTGCTGTGATTTCTAACAAGCCCAACGGACCTACTTAATCAGCTCTCCTCCTCCTACTTTCCCCACAACAACAACCTTGTGCTGTGGGGTGGGCTGAGAGAGAAGGATTGGCCAAAAGTCATTCAGTTTTTCATGGCTAGGGTGGAACTAGAACTCACTGTCTCCTTGTGATGGCTAGAAGTAGTGGCTTTGCTCTCTGTAAACCCTATAAACGTAGCACTGATGATGATGCCTAGTTGGGTCATAAAACGTCTGCAGGAAAACCACCAAGCTCAGAGAACACCAATAGTTGTTTTCCTCCTCCTCCTCCTCCTCCTCCTCCTCCTCCTCCTCCTCCTCCTCCTCCTCCTCCATCCCCACTCCCAGCACTGACGATGGTACCTAGTTGGGTCATAAAACGTCTGCAGGAAAACCACCAAGCTCAAAGAACACCAATAGTCATTTTCCTCCCCCTCCTCCTCCTCCTCCTCCTCCTCCCCTCTAGCACTGGTGATGTTACCTAGTTGGGTCATGAAACGTCTACAAAGAAAACCACCAAGCACCAAGGACCCCTCATGTCAACCCTGAGCTACAAAGATCCTCCTTGGCCAATTTCCCTCTCCCTCCCCCCCCTCCACCGTTGTGTCTTGCCTTTGTTATGAATATACAAAGATCTAGATCGCCCCGTCTCTAAAAAGCAGCCAGCTGGGGGATGCTGGCCTTTCAAGCTGCCTCTGGACGAGGCTGAAGTGAAGCCAAAAGATGTTGCATCTGAAGAGGGTTCCAGGGAGATTCTCCATCATCCAGGTCACTCTTTTCCCAAAGATGCTTTTTCACCAGGCGACTGGACTTCCGTGTTCTCTTTGTCCAGTTGCCCCGTGGAGAAGCACCTTGGCGGCATCTGAGCAGGGGCCAGGCACCCAGTGGCCGGCAGTCAGCTGTTTGCAAAATCCTGGCAGCCCCCAAACCCTCCCTGTATGCAAGGGTCCTATTGTGCCCATCCCCATCCCCATGAAAGGGGGTTTCTCCTTCTGAAGTGCAGCTGCCACAGTGGGGGGGGAGAGGGGGGGGAGAGCCCCAAATTTAGAAAAATTGGAGCCTGCAGCCGAAGCTATCGGCACAGGCTCCACCATGAGATTATACAGGTAGTCCTTGACTGACGACTACAATTAAGCCCAAAGTTTTTATTTTATTTTTTTTCCTTTTTTTTTTATTGAAAAGTTTTTAAAAGTTTTACAAATAAACAACCAATCCTCACCCATCCCTCCCAAACCCCCCTCCTCCCCCCTCCCCGAGCTTCCCAGAACTGAATACAGGCTTATCTATGATTTTAAAAAACCTAAACAAATTTTTACAACTTATAAAATAATTAATAATAAAATATATATGACATAAGCATTAAAAAGAAAAATACTTAAAAAAAGAAAGAAAAAGAGAGGAAAGCGAGTGAGAAAGAAAAAGAAAAAGGAATAAAAAAGATAAAAAAAAAGAAGGAAGAAAGCAAAGGACGGAAAAAGAAAAGAAAAAAACAATCTATAAAATATCCCCAAAAAATTTTTTATACAATTTATAAAAAAGCTAAATGATATTTTTCCATATCCAAATTATATTGTATAAAATTTATCCATTTTTCCCATACAACAAAAAATTTCTCTTGAGATTGCTCCTTTAAGAAAGCCGAAATATTGTTAAGCGAGATATTTGTTCAGTGAGTTCCATTTCTGGGAGTTGAAGTCCACATCTCTTAAAGAGGCTAATGGCTGGAGAATTCTGGGAGTTGAAGTCCACACCTCTTAAAGCGGTTAATGGCTGGGGAATGCTGGGAGTTGAAGTCCATACCTCTAAGAGCTAAGAGCACTCTGTTGCAGAGTTCTGCCATTTTCCCAGTACTCTTGCACAGCGCTTCTTAACCTTTTTGAACGAATCGCCCCCTTGAGCCAATGAGGAAGTTGTCATCGCCCCCGTCCCCCAACATAACCTCTCAATCACAACCTAGGAAATAATTCTTCGATTTATGCAAACACTTGATTTGTTTTCTTTAAAATTGTCATCAGGACATATCGATGCAAATCATTTATTTCCAGTCTTTTGCCCATATCTCAACTGTGTGAAAAATTTTGGTGCCACCCGCCACTTTATTCCCAAACTTCGTGATACATGTATTTCCTTATGATCTTATTTATTCAAGACACTTAAATGTAATGACCACTGAAAACAAAATTCAATGGCAAGAAAGTGAAATCCCCGAGAAGAAAAACAGTAATATTTAATGATTGAATTACAAGTGAAATTTAAGACGCAAAAAGAAATATAAAAAGGGCAGAGGCTGCTGCGTAACGTGCACGAAGACAAGCGATGCGTCTTCATATATGTACGGCGTTCTGTACTGAAGCTAGCTGGAGGAACATTTGAAAACACAATTCAATCCACTAATAGCGAGTGATCTGATGTTTTTGTACGACAGATATGCAGTGATTCACTGTACGAAAAAGTCTCAAAAGTGTCCCCAAAACTTCTTGCTCCATCGCCCCCATATTGCTTCCTTTTTGTTCCATCGCCCCCCTGAAAAATGAAATCGCCCCCTGGGGGGGCGATATCACCCAGGTTAAGAACCACTGCTCTTGCACACCAGCTCCAATTGTGTGACTTTGTACATCTTCCTGGGCCGGAGAGGGGGCGAGAGGGATACACGGTGGAGTAGCGATCACGTACGGACTGATGAGGAGGACTCCGGGATGCATAATTTACATCCCCTCTAGGCAAGGCTTTTAAGCACATTTTTAGCCAGAGGATATAAGAGCGGAGCAGCTGTTTGACGGGGTTGGAATTGTCAGAAGGGGGAAAATCTTGGGGCTTGTGTGAGTGCAAGTGAAGAAAAGTGTGTGTTACACAGCAGAAGTTCCAACTATGCACAACTGTTTTCTCTTTTCATTGAATGTGGAAATGACCCAGTTGGACCGATTTAAAAAAAAAAAAAATCAGCAAGGGAGAGGAATAGAAACCATCACCTATCCAGGTCGTTCAATTTCACAGCTACTAAGATTGTTGGCCGAGTAGAGACAAAAATAGCCAGGGAAATGACTGAAGCATGGGAAACAGCCCCCCTCCACTTTATCAGTCAACAGGAGTGCTGACTTACGCCCAGGTACTCAGGAGCCCCCAAAACATGTCCAGATAACTGGACTTTAACCCCTGGGTTTTCTCAGCCTGAGAGGGTCCCCTGTTTGGCTAGGATTGAGTTACCAAAAATAGGCTGCTTTCTGCAGCAAGGTTCTGCCAGAACAGCTCAGTGGAACTTGGAAGGCCAGAGACCTTTGACTATCCAATCCTGGCCAAACACAGGATGGAGGTTACTTTCATAGCCAGCCAAATGAATCCTGAGAAGCAGGGCTGATTTGATTTTCCAGGTTTTCTCCCGCTGCAGCAACGAATCTGCATTGCGTGGCCAACTGTGAGCCTCCGTGGGGCAGGTGATAAAGGGAAGACAAATCTAGTTTGTTATTGAACAGGATGTTGGTTTATTGCCTTCCTGTGAGCGGTGCCCTTCTTTGACTGGCCTCTAGAGGGCTCCGCCGCTTCTGATCACACCTGATACAGTTTCAAGACTTGCCATTAAGTTGGCTTTCCCCAAATGGGTGACCCTCCCCCTCCCCATCCCAGATGTACTGGATCACAACGACCCTCAAGTGCCAGCCCAGCTGTTTGAAGAGGACCAGCCTGTCCCGAGCTGACTAGATCTGGATTTTGCTGTTCCCTTGGCTTTGGACTTCCAGCTAAAGCTCTCTCCTCTCCTCTCTTCTCCTCTTCTTTTTCACTTCTCTCCACTTTTCCCTTGCTCTCTTCTTTTCTCTTTTCTCTTCTCTCCACTTTTCCCTTTCTCTTCTCCTCTCCTCTCTTCTTCTCTCTTCTGTTTTCATTCTCTTCCTTTTCTCTTTTCTCTACTCTTCTCTCTTCTTTTTTCTCTTTTCATTCTCTTCTTTTTCTCTTCTCTCCACTTTTCCCTTTCTTCTCTCCACTTTTCCCTTTCTCTTCTCCTCTCCTCGCCTTCTCTCTTCTTTCTTCTCATTCTCTTCCTTTTCTCTTATCTCTACTCTTCTCTCTTCTTTTTTCTCTTCTCTCCATTTTTCCCTTTCTTCTCTTCTTTCTTCTTTCTTCTCTGCTCATTCTCCTCCTTTTCTCTTCTCTCCACTTTTCCCTTTCTTCTCTTCTTCCTTTTTTCTTCTCTCTTCCATTTTCCTCTTCTTTTCTCTTCCTCTTCTCTTCCCTTTTTCTTCTTTTTCTTTTCTCTATTTCATTTCCCTCTTCCCCTTATCTTCCTCCCCTCTTTTCTCCCCTCTTCCCTTCTCTCTTCTATTTCCCCCTTCTTCTCTTTTCTTCTCTTCTCTTCTCCTCTTCTTTTCTCTTCCCTTCCTCTCTTCTATCCCCATCTTTCCCTCTCCCTCTCTCCTCCACCCCGGCTCCTTGCAGGAGATTGCCTGGATAACAGCGTGGCCTCCCCCAGCACGGGGGAAGACGACGACCTGGACCGGGACAAGAAAAGAAACAAGAAACGTGGCATTTTCCCCAAGGTGGCCACGAATATCATGCGTGCCTGGCTTTTTCAACACTTGTCGGTAAGAACCCAAAAGGGGGTTGTGGCCCGAAGTCCAGGCGGTGGGTGCAACCCTGAAGAGCCTTGCTGGCCATTGGGCGGGGGGGGGGGCCCTAACCGGAGACATCCATCCATGCCCACCACCCAACCGCTTCCTTCCACTTTGCTGTCTTCCAGGCAATTAGATAGTGCCTCTCCCTGGTTAGTTAAACAAAGGCAAGTTAATGAGCGCTGGCCAATTAGTGGCTAATTGAAGGAGCTATAAAGCTATTAGAGGCTGGTGAAGGGTAATCAATTCTGGCCAATTATCCTGAACCCGGGTTGGCAGGGAGGGGATGGGGGAGGCTGGTGAAGGCCGCTAAGGGGAAGGGCTGATCAGGCCTCCCACTGCCCTGCCAGAGATATTCATTAATTCTTTTTTTTAATTATGGCTATGTTACAGAGAGTCCTCGACTTACAACCGTTTGTTTAGCGACCAGCTCTGCATGGAGATTCCCACTCATCCATGGGTCAACAGTTGTCCCAAAGGTGCTTCCCCCCCCAAAAAAAAAGGCAGCTGGACTGGAATTTCTTGGGGATTTCTTTTTTTAAATTTGAAAAGGTTTCGCTTCTCATCCTCTTCAGTTCCAGCGGCTCTAACGTATGTCCGTTAGAATCGAAGAAGCTTCTAGCTTGAGAAGTGAAATGTTTTCACAGAAAATCTCCTCAAGAAAGTCCGGTTGCCTTTTTTGGGGGGGGGGGAAGCACCTCTGGGATGATTTAGAGACCATTCAAAGTTACAACACTGGTCCAAACTGGGCCGCTTGGCATCTGGTTCATATTTATGACGGTTGCAGGGTTCCCCGGGGTGATCCTGTGGTCCCCTTTTTACGACCTTCTGACGTTTGAAAGTTACTTCAATAAAGGCCAGAGTGGCAGCTCAGCTCTTCTCTGTCTCTCTCCAAGATTGCTTTGTCTTCACAACGATCTTGTGAGGGAGGATTAGGCTGAAAAAACGGGGCCTGGCCTCTCCCATTGGCCACGTAATGGACCGATGCTTTGTAGGTGGAATAGCTTCTTTTGATCTCTGAGTCAAGTCGAGGCAAGTGTGTTTGAGTTTAAGGAATATATTGTGGTGATAGCCAGTTGGGGGGTGGTGGTGAAGGCAATAGCCAAAAATGGGGAGATCCTGAGTTCTAATCCTGCCTTAAGCACAAAGCCAGCTGAGTAACCTTGGGCCGGTCAGTTTCTCTCAGCCCTAGGAAGGAGGCAATGGTTTGAGAAAATTGGCCATAAAACTACTGGGTTTTCTCCAGGGCCCAGGCAGTCTTTGAGAATCAGACATGCTTGAACAGGGGGGAAAATATATATTGTGCCTACATAGAAGGATCTCATTCTGTGTCATTCTTCTCAGAGTCTGGACATTAGTAGCTAGATGGCAGGAGTGACTGGATCCCCCCCCAATTTATTTATGTTCAAATCAGTCCTCTCTTCTGCCATAGGGGGAACTAAGGATGGCAGCCTAGATCAGGGGTAGGCAACCCTGGCTCTTTTATGACTGGTGGACCAACTCCCAGAATTCCTGAGCCAGCATGGCTCAGCTTGGAAACTTTCCCTTTCCCCTCAGCACGGCTGGCTCAGGAATTCTGGGAGTTGAAGTTCATGAATCATAAAAGAGCCAAGGTTGCCTATTCCTGGCCTAGAGGCTTCCTTAAGTTGTCTCTCATTCGGGCACTAAGCTGGTATTTCCCCAGCTCAGTTTCTCCAAAATGGCTCTAACCATTTGGCCAGGAGTTCATGCCATCTTCCTACGCTGAGACTGAAAACCATCTTTCATTGCCTTGGGAAGTTGGGTTGATTGTGCCCGGAAAAGATGGAAAGATGGGTGCCCTGTCTGTCTGTCTGTCTGTCTGTCTCTCTCTCTCTCTCTCTCTCTCTCTCTCTATCCCCATCATCTATCTTCTTATCTATCTGTCTATTTCTATCTATCTATCTCCCTATATCTATCTATCTATCTGTCTATCTATCTATCTATCTATCTATCTATCTATCTATCTACCTACTATCTATCTATCTATCTATCATTTATCATCTATCTATCATCTACATCTATCTATCTATCTATCTATCTATCATTTATCATCTATCATCTACATCTAACTATCTAGCTATCATCTATCATCTAACTACATCTATATCTATCTATCTATCTATCTATCTATCTATCTATCTATCTATTATCTATCTATCTATCTATCTATCTATCTATCTATCTATCTTTTATCATCTATCATCTATCTATCATCTACATCTATCTATCTATCATCTATCTATCTATCTATCTATCTATCTATCTATCTATCTATCTATCTATCTATTTCTATCTAAGAACAGTTGATGTTAGGTTTCTGGAGCATCTGGAGCAGTGCTTTTTTTCTAAAAAAATAAAATAAAAAAGGTGCCAGAACTCACACACGTCACACAACCCGCCTTGCCTACCCTACAAGGTTCCATCCAAAAAAGGTGCCGGAACTCCGTTCTGGGCATTCTATGAGAAAAAAAGCCCTGATCGGGAGTCAAGATGTTTGCAGCAGACCAAACACGGACAACAGTTTACTGAGACACTCCCCCCCACCCCACCCCGTTCCTGGAGTGTGGGGTGAACCCCCCCATTTCCAACAGAAGCCCCAGCTGGATGGGGGACTCCAGAGGGGGGTGAGGGCCAAGGTGTCAAAAACCTGAGGCGGGGTAGTGATCCAAGACTTGGAATTTGTCCCCCGGCTGGTACCCCACCATTCTTGATGACCTCTCCGGTCCCAGAGGGCTTTTGCTCATCCATCACCTGGTTGTCAGATGGGAGGAGGGGGGCTTATGGGGGTCTGGCTGTGACCTCTGAGCCAAGACGGGCTCATCCATCATCTGAACTGGCAACTAAAAGGCCCAGGTGGGGAGCGAAGGAGAGGAAGCCAGGTTGGTTTCCATCTCCGGTCAACAAGGAAGTGGAAGGCACCATTTCCTGTCTCCTCCTTCTCCTTCTCCTCCTTCCCTCCTTCCTCTTCCTCTTTTTCCTTCTCCTTCTCTTTCTCCTTCTTCTCTTTCTCCTTCTCCTTCGTCTTCTCTTTCTTTCTCCTCCTTCTCCTTCTCCCATTTCTCTTTCTTTCTCTCCTCCTCCTCCTCTTCCTCCTTCTCCCCCTCCCCCCTTTTTTTCTTAAGAAGTGAAAGAGTTGGGGGCCCATCGTTCCAGGACCCACCCACCCTTGCAGGGCTATTGTGTCTTCCCCACACACGATATCCCAAGTTCCTTGGGAGACAAGGCAACCATGCAGAATGATGGAAGAGGGAAGGATTTTATTTTATTTTATTTTTTTGCTGTGGCTTTTTTAAAAAAAGGCGTAGTCATTTAAACATTAGGGTTTGAAAGGAGAACCCAGGGAGTAAACAGAGTTGGGTCAAAACTTTGGAGACCACCCTCCCCTCTCTTTTTCTCTCTGCAGCACCCTTATCCCTCAGAAGAACAGAAGAAACAGTTAGCCCAGGACACGGGACTGACGATCCTGCAGGTCAACAACTGGTAAGTGTCAGAAAGTGAGAAGAGAAGGAACAGGAAGCGTTGCTTCTGCTGAATTTGCTGCACATCTGCCCTGCTCCCTTGTAAAGTCCCCTTTGTCATGGGGAGGAGACCCTTGTCGCTGTGACTCTTGTGCATACAATACCTGCTAAAAACAGTGTTTCTCAACCTTGACCATTTTAAGGCATGTGGACTTCAACTCCCAGAATTCCACAGCCAGCATTGCTGGCTGTGGAATTCTGGGAGTTGAAGTCCACATGCCTTAAAATGGTCGAGAAACACTGTGCTAAAAGTATAGGTGGAATTCTGGGAGTTGAAGTCCACAGAAAACACTGTACTAGACCGAGTTGGCTTTCCGGTTTCGTACCCTAGGCCGGTGTCTCTCAACCTTGGTGGCTTGAGAATGTGAAGACTTCAACTCCCAGAATTCCCCAGGCTAGGGCATTCTTGGAATTGACGTTCACGTGTCTTCAAGCCCACCAAGGTTGAGAAACCGAATAAGTTCCTCTCTCCCAGATCTGGACAGTCCTCGTCCTCTTTGATGAAGACGTGACTCCCTTAGAGTCTGAAAGCCTTCCTGTTCCAATGAGCCCTTGAAGTTCTCATGAACTTGATTCCACTTTTATTTTATGGAACTGTTCGGTTTTCATTAGCTTGTGTTAAGCTATTTGGGAGGACTATGGATGCCTGGAGCATGACACGTTGTCGGTAGAGAAGTCCTGCAGAGAAATAAGACGCTGCTTAGGGCGGGCTGGGAAGAGACTGGACTTCCCTCTGTCAGAAATGGTGTAGGATCTCCTCCGTGGGTGGGGGGTTGGACTAGATGACCTATAAGGCCCCTTCCAACTTTGTTACTCTGCTACTGTTACTGTTAATGGGATGAAAATCACCAAATGGCGTTGCTGGAGAGGACACCAACAGGCGACCCCAGGGGCTTATAGTCATCCCTTTCATTGTATCTCCTGCAGGTTTATTAATGCCCGAAGGCGCATAGTTCAACCTATGATCGACCAATCAAATCGCACAGGTAAGAGGGGTTCCATTCCCCAAAGGATCTGCGGAAAAGACTCACTCTATATATTGGTCCCCCATCACGCTCCTTTCCCGCTAAACGCAGTCCAGCCATTTTCAAAGGGGGCCAAAGCAGGTTTCGGTGCCCCTGCTTTTTTAAATTTTATTTTTCTCAAGATGGCAATAATACTCCTTCCTTCTTCTTTCCCCCCCACCTCCCTCCCCCCCACAATAACAATCCTGCGAAGTGGATAGGGCTGAGAGAGAGCGATGGGCCCAAAGCCGCACACTTGGCTTTCATGCCTAAGGTGGGGCTAGAACTTCCAGTCTCCTGGTGATGGGCCCAAAGTCACCCAGCCGGCTTTTGTGCCTAATGCGGGTCTAGAACTCACTGCCTCCTGGTGATTGGCTCAAAGTCACTCAGCCAGCTTTCATGCCTAAGGCAGAACTAGAACTCCCAGTCTCCTGGTGATTGGCCCAAAGTTCACCCACCCAGCTTTCATGCCTAAAGCGGGACTAGAACTCCCAGTCTCCTGGTGATTGGCCCAAAGTTCACCCAGCCAGCTTTCATGCCTAAACCAGGACTAGAACTCCCAGTCTCCTGGTGATTGGCCCAAAGTTCACCCAGCCAGCTTTCATGCCCGAGGCAGGACTAGAACTTCCCGTCTCCTGGTGATGGGCTCAAAGTCACTCAGCCGGCTTTCATGCCTAAGGCGGGACTAGAACTCCCGGGGATTGGCCCAAAGTCATCCAGCCAGATTTGTGCCTAGTGTGGATCTAGAACTCACTGGCACCTGGTTCCTAGCCTAGTGCCTTAACCACAACTAGACCAAACTGGCTGATTTGGGGGACAGATTCTAAACAGGATAAAGGGGGATGCCCCTCCCCCTTCCCCAACCAACCGGGGGCTACTTTCTGTTTTAAACGCCTGCAGAAATTGGACACCCTGAAAATGGGGGATGTGTCTACCTGTTCTTTTTTCTCTGTGACCTTCCTCTCTTCCAAGCAGGTCAAGGTACGCCATACAGTCCCGATGGGCAGCAAATGGGAGGTTATGTGATGGATGGGCAGCAGCGCATGACCATTCACCCCCCAGGTGAGCCTGAATCGCTCAGCTCTGCCGCAGGGCAACCTCATTTTCTTTTCAGAAGGGATGTCCTTGGTGTGGGAGAAGTAGGGCTCCACCTGTCAGGCTTCATGAACCAGGACCCGACTTAAGTTGCAGTTAAGAAGATTTGTTGCTTAGGCCTATAAACGAAAATCTGGTCATCTAATGTTCAACATTAATAAATTGACACTAGATTGAAATTAACACTCACCTTAGAAAGATGCCTTGAAGCACGTTAGGAGGGTGATGGGGTCATCATGCATCTGTTTTCTCCTCTTTTTCCAGGACCAATGGGAATGGCTATGGGTATGGAGGGTCAGTGGCATTATATGTGAAAGTCTGAACTCTCTGCTGACATCAGAGGGGAAGTGAGTATCATGGACACAACCGTTTGGGGTCTCTTCTAAAGAAACAGCAGGAGGTGGAATGGGTCAACTCACCATGGCCAACTCGCCATGGCCAACTCACCACGGCCTACTCACCACGGCCAACTCAACATGGCCAACTCAACATGGCCAACTCAACATGGCCAACTCAACATGGCCTACTCACTATGGCCAACTCAACATGGCCAACTCAACATGGCCAACTCACCATGGCCAACTCACTATGGCCAACTCACCATGGCCAACTCAACATGGCCAACTTACCACAGCCAACTCGCCACAGCCAACTCGCCACGGCCAACTCACCATGGCCAACTCACTATGGCGAACTCAACATGGCCAACTCACTATGGCCAACTCACCATGGCCAACTCACCACGGCCAACTCACCACAGCCAATTCAACATGGTCAACTCACCACGGCCAACTCGCCATAGGACAATTTAACAATTCAATTTAATTATTTAAAATAAATTAAAAAATACTTTAATTTTTGTCCTTCACATTTCATTCTATCCCTCCTTTTGTGGCCTTTCTTTAATGATTCTATTCCACCATTTCTTCGATATTAGTGTAACTCTTGTTCCACGGCAAGTTGCCCCCTGGCAAGATGGCCGTGGGGAGTTGGCTGTGTGGGGACTTGGCCATGGCGAATTGTCATAGACTGGCAGGAGAAGAAGGTCCTAGGCGTGAGATGATTGAAAAATCATGCCTCCTGGTGGGGCAGAACGACCCATGAGAACTAGCCACTTATAGAGAAGACGAAGTCCATGCCGTAGCATCTGGCAACCGCTTTTCCCTACTTTTCTTCCCTCATCATGTCCAGATTGCTATTCCTGATCCAAAGTGGCAAATTCCCCATGCCAACTTCACAAGGGCTGCCTCTATTTAACGTATTTGATCATCTCAGTTAAAAACTTAGCAGTTGCCGGTCTTAAGCTGGGGGGGGGGTGGGACATCCGGTGGCTGTGTTGTGTCCACTTGGGAAGTTTGGCAAGCTTATCAGAAAAGAATCTGAGTCAGAAACCAGCTTCAATGTATGGCTTGTTCTTCTCGGTCCACCAAAGAAGCTTTGTTCCACAATTGTCTTCCCACTTGGAACCTCCCGCAATTTCTCAACCTTGAGAACTTTTTAAGAGTGTAGACTTCAACCCATGCTGGCTGAGGAATTCTGGGAGTTGAAGTCCAGACTTCTTAAAGTTGCCAATGTTGGGAAGCACTGCTCGAGATTGGAGGCCCTACTACTCCCAAGAGGTCTACCAAGGTAGCAAAAAGCTCTCCGGAGGACAACTCCACCGGCCCATTTTACCACCCGCCAAGCAAGGAAATATCTTCTACTTCAACCTGGAAACATTCCAGAAGAACCTCATGGCCTCCTTCTTCTCCTTCTGTGGTTCTTGCAGGAGTCCAGTTCTAGGCTTGGTGACCTGGAGAAGACACTTCCTGGCTTACAGGCACAGGATTCACGGAGCATCAGGACCTGGCGTGCCCTTCCTTTGGACTTCCCTGCACTTGACAAGAATGTCCTTCCTCCCCACGGCACATGGCTGTTCTCTGCACTGCCACACCGCCCTCTCCTCCAGGAGGGAACATGCATGGACAACGTGGCCCATGCCTCTCCTTCTACGGCCCCTCTTTCCTTTACTCCTTTCTCCAAAGGAGGACCTCCCAGTTACACGTCCCTCGGACTTCAAGGGTTCCAAAACAGCCTTTTGCCTGCTAAGGTTTAGGCACCAGATGGTGAAGCGCTACAAGCTACAAGCAAGCCGCCTTTGATGGCAACTCGTCCCAACATCAGAAGAAGGGACAGATGGACAGCACTGGTCAACTCTGGAAGAGAACTGCGGGGCGGGGGAGAAGCAAAGGGGTTAATTGTTAAGTTGTCGGTCTCTCTTTCTTTCTCTCTCTCTCTTTTCCCTCCCCACACACAGAAAATGTACGCCCCCCTCTTCCCCCCCCCACCTGGGAGGCTGCTGTTGGCCACATTGGCCGTGTCCATCCACGGTGGTCTCTCCGTCATGAACTTCTTTTCAAACAAGACGAGAATTCCCAGAGGTTGTGTTTTGTTTTTTAAAATTTCTGTTATCCTTTCTTTTCTTCCTTCTTTCTAATAATTTAATTATTGATGTGGATGATCAGAGAGGGGAAGTAAATTAAATGGGACACTTTTCTTTCGTATTATTGTGAAGAGTGGAAGAACTATCTTTCTCTCTCTCTCTCTCTCTCTCTTTCCCCGTCTCTCCTTCCCTCCCTCTCCCTGTCCCTCTCTCTCCCTGTGTCTCCCTCCCTCCCTCTCCCTCTCTCCCTTTCTCTCCCTCTCGTTCCCTCTCCCTCCCTCCCTCTTTCTCTCCTCTCTCTCCCTCTCCATCTCCCTCTCCTCTCCCTCCCTCCCTCTCTCCCTTTCTCTCCCTCTCCCTCTCTCTCTCCCTCCCTCTCTCCCTCTCTTTCTCTCCTTCTCCCTCTCTCCCTCTTCATCTCCCTCTCCTAACCCTCTCCCTCCCTCCCTCTATCCCTTTCTCTCCCTCTCCCTCTCTCGCTCCCTTTCTCTCCCTCTCTCTCTCCCTCTCCCTTTCTCTCCCTCTCTCCCTCTCCTTCTCCCTCTCTCCCTCTCCCTCTCTCTCTCCCTCTCTCCCTCTCCTGCTTCCTCTCTTAATCTGGCATGTTCCCCCCCCTTCACTTGGCTTTCCAATGCTTTCTTAATATAAGGTTCTTAGGAACATTTTATTCACTTATTGTTCTCCATAAAATGGTGGAGGACTCCTGGGAACACAAAAAAATCAGTGGGTCCTTTGGGTGGGGCTCCAAAAAGGTCAAGAACGCAGTTGGAACTGGGTGATCAAGACAAGCATTATCTATGGTTCAGTTGGACGGAGATCCCGAAAACTGCGATCACAGGATGTCCATTCCCGGTTCTTGGAGGTCACCCAATCACCAGAGGGTCTACCAGGAGAAGAGAGGTCCAAAAGTCAAGGTCACAAACTCATAATATCACCAATCATGAGATTGGAAGGGGTTTGGGAGGTCCTACTTCGACCACCTGCCCAGGGCAGGTATCCTCAAACCATCCCAGATTATCCCACACAAATGACTGCTTCATACATCTCGTAGTCCTCCTTATTTCAAATTTGGGTCTCTCTCACTCACTAAAGCTTCCACCCAAGGTTCTTGAGAACTTTGGAGAATAAATCCACTCCTCCTTCTCCGTGGCACTCTTTCATCTAGGTCTCAAAGCCCACCTTGGATTCTGTGGGCTTAGTACCCTGGAGAGAAACGTGCTTGTGTTCCCCCCCCCTTACAGTATTGGTTCTTATTCAATGGGATATTAGACCGTTTGCTTCATCGGAGACCCTTAGGTTACCCTTGCACTGGGTGGGGAATTCTGGGAGTTGAAGTCCACCCATCTTAAAAAGCTCCCAAGGTTGAGAACTACATCTTTAGAATGAAGAAAGATGAGAAATGGCAACTTAAATTAACAACAGTATCTCTCAACATCATGCCTAGGAGCAAACATCAGAAAGAAAGACTCCAGCATCCTGATCTCCTTAACTCATAATGGGGTAGACTCCAAATTTCCAAATAGCTTGGAAAGTCCAACTCTGGGTTCACCCAAAGCTCTACATTCTAAAACTAAATTAACCAAACATGACATGCTAAGACAGGGTTTGTCAGTATGAAAGTCGGCTGGGTAATTTGGGGTGAATCACCAGAAGACGGTAAGTTCCAGTCCCGCCTTTGCTACGAAAGTTGGCTGGGTGACTTTGGGCCAATCACCAGGCGACGGTGAATTCTAGTCCAGCCTTAGTCATGAAAGCCAGTTGGGTGACATTGAGTCAAACACCAAGAGATGGTGAGTTCTAGTCCCACTTTAGACCTGAAAGCCAGCTGGGTGACTTTGGGCCCATCACCAGGCGACGGTGAATTCTAGTCCAGCCTTAGTCATGAAAGCCAGTTGGGTGACATTGAGTCAAACACCAAGAGATGGTGAGTTCTAGTCCCACTTTAGACCTGAAAGCCAGCTGGGTGACTTTGGGCCCATCACCAGGCGACGGTGAATTCTAGTCCAGCCTTAGTCATGAAAGCCAGTTGGGTAACATTGAGTCAAACACCAAGAGATGGTGAGTTCTAGTCCGTACCTTGGGCATGAAAACTGGCTGGGTGCCTTTTGTCAATCCCCAGGTGACTGGGAGTTCTAGTTCTGCCTTAGGCGTGACAGCCAGGCGTGTGATTTTGGGCCAGTCTTGGCCCAACCCACCTCACAGGGTTACTGTTGGGAAAATAGGAGGAGAAAGGAGAATTAGGTATGCCCGCCAGCTTGAGATATTCATAAAAATAATAAAGGCGGGAAACAAACAAAGCAGACTGACTGGCAAGAACGGACCGCCCATTTTCCCCTGAAAAGAAGGCAAAATAACCCCTGGGGAGGCGGGGAAGACTGCACCTTTTTTTGAAAAAGGGTGAAAAACAGCCCTCTCTCCATGGGGCTGCTACCTCTGGCAACTTAAAAAAAAAATCTTTTAATTAAAAAGGCAAATCTGGAAACTCCAGTCTTTGGAGGTCTGCTGAGAAAGGAATTCACTTTGGGGTTGGCCATCCCCACTCACCCAGCACTATAACAGAATAACAGCTGGAAGGGACCTTGGAGGTCTTCCAATCCATCCCCCTGCTTAGGCAGCAAACCGTAGACCAGGAGTAGGCAACCTTGGCTCTTTGATGACTTGTGGACTTCAATAACCAGAATCCCTGAACCAGCTATGCTAACTCAGGAATTCTGGGAGTTGAAGTCGACAAGTCATCAAAGAGCCAAGGTTACCTACCGCTGCCCTAGAGCCTAGACCATTTCAGACAAATGGCTGTCCAATCTCTTCTTAAAAACTTCCAAGTGTTGGAGCATTCACCACGTCTGGAGGCAGGTTGTTCTCCTTAATTCCAGGTTGCTTCTCTCCTTGATTAATTTCCATCTGTTGCTTCTTGTCCTGCCTTCAGGGGCTTTCAAAAATAGGTTGACCCCATCTTCTTGGCTTTGGGTTTGGCTAGTCTAAAGAAATGAAGAAATAGGGGAGACATAATAGCAGCATTCCAGTATCTGAGGGGCTGCCACAAAGAAGAGGGGGGTCACGTTATTCACCAAAGCACCAGAGGGCAGGACGAGAAACAATGGTTGGAAGGTGATCAAAGAGAGAAGCAACCCGGAATTAAGGAGAAACTTCCTGACAGTGAGGACAATTAACCAGTGGAACAGCTTGCCACCAGAAATCGTGGACGCTTCGTCACTGGAGGTTTTAAAGAAGAGACTGGAGAGTCACTTGTCTGAGATGGTATAGGTTCTCCTGCTTGAGCAGAGGGCTGGACTAGAAGACCTCCAAGGTCCCTTCCAGATTCTATTCTATTCTATTCTGTAATTCTCTTCTCTTCTCTTCTCTTCTCTTCTCTTCTATTCTATTCTATTTTTCATTCATATTCTATTCTATTCTATTCTATTCTGTAATTCTCTTCTATTCCTATTCTATTCTATATTTCTATTCTATTCTATTTTTCATTCATATTCTATTCTATTCTATTCTATTCTATTCTGCAATTCTCTTCTCTTCTCTTCTCTTCTATTCTATTCTGTTCTATTCTATGCCATGCCATTCTATTCTATTCTATTTTTCATTCATATTCTATTCTATTCTATTCTATTCTATTCTATTCTATTCTATTCTATTCTATTCTATTCTGTAATTCTCTTCTATTCCTATTCTATTCTATATTTCTATTCTATTCTCCATTCATATTCTATTCTATTCTATTTTATTCTATTCTGTAATTCTCTTCTCTTCTCTTCTTTTCTATTCTATTCTGTTCTATTCTATTCTTCTACTTCATTCCATTATTCTATTCTATTCTATTCTATTCTATTCTATTCTATGCCATGCCATGCCATGCCATTCCATTCCATTCCATTCCATTCCATTCCATTCCATTCTATTCTATTCTATTCTATTCTTTGTGGCAGCCCCTCAAATATTGGAAGACTGCTATCATGTCACCCCTTGTCCTTCTCTTCATTAAACTAGACATACCCAATTCCTGCAACTGTTCTTGTTACGTTTTAGCCTCCAGCCCCCTGATCATCTTGGTTGCTCTTCTCTGTACTCTTTCTAGATTCTATGTTGCTCAGGGGCCTGCAACACACTCCCCCACCCCACCCCAAATTTTGCTCCGCAACCAAGCACCACATGTCTTCCACCCCTGGTTTAGACAGCGAGTGCCACAACTGCATACCGATGCTACAATAAATTGTGCTTCCCTTATCCCTTTCTTCTTCTTCTTAGCTGTCCCCCGATAAGCTGCGCTGAGCAGCAGTGACTTATTTAAAGAGGAGCCAAAAACGCCAATAGCAGCCCACAACTCTGGTTGCCATGACAGGCTGTTAGTGGGCGAGCTTTCTAAAAATTATTGTTAACAAGAACGATTCTCTACAGCCATGGAAGGACGGTAAAGTTCTCAGCTGGAGGATACCAAGTTTATTTACATGTGGCTGAATATTCTCCGTCATCCGGGTCAGGTCTGTCCAAAAGGTGCTTTTTTTCAGAAGGCAACTGGACTTTCTTGTTTTTTTTCTTTGAAGACGTTTCGCTTCTCATCCCAGAGGCTTCTTCAGCTCTGACTGAATGGTGGGCAATGGAAGGATTTATACTCCTTGCAGAAAAATTGGTCATTTGCCTTCTGTTAGACCAGTGGTTCACAACCTGTGGGTCGGGACCCCATTTGGGGTCGAACGACCATTTCACGGGGGTCGCCAAACAACGCAGTCCGCCATTTTCCCCCCCCTTTTCCTTAGTTGTGCTACTCCCTTTTATTCTATTGGCTTTTGAAAGCCAATAGAATAGACTCTCTTAAATAGAGTCTAATTCTATTGGCTTTCAAAAGCCAATCGGAATTGTCCAGGCTGTCTCTGCCCTGCTGAGCCCGCCAAAAGTCCCATTCTGCAAACGGTGCTGCACCAGTTGAGTAGTCCTCGACTTACGACCGGTTGAGTCGTCCTCGACTTACGACCGGTTGGGGGTCGCGGCATTAAAAAGGTTGAGAACCACTGTGTTAGAGAGTCATGGAGGCCACTTGGAGGTTTGTCTGTGTCTGAGTGGTGCAAATGGGTGTGTGGAGCCTTCTTGGGACT